GAAATCCAATATATCCAAATACATCTTTTTCCAGCCTTACTCTCCCAGATTCTGGCAGTTTTAAGAACTTCCAGAGGGAGGGCTTGTATTATACCTCCATGTTGAATAAAGCTCTTAGTGAACCAATTTGCTGTCTCTTTAGCTAATATCCTTTAGCCTACTTTAAAGGCTAGCTACTAATAATGATATTTGGTATTCTTGATTTAATGCTCTGAATGAAGTCAAAGGGCATTTTCTCTCGTAGTGGATCATAGCATAGGACTTCTGCTATCCTGCTTCATAACGGTTTCTTCAAAATAGGATCTTGAGAGCTAAGACATCTTCAAAGAGAAAGAAAGGAGGTACAGCAAGATGATTTTTATTTAGGAAAATTAACAAGATTCATAGAGACTGTTAGGTATCAGGACTGGAACCATAGAAATGGGCAGCACAAATCTGATTGCCCTTGTCAATCCAATTAGGAAAATGTCTGCGTCTTATGTGAGAGAAAAATCAAACACAAGTAGCGGTAGATGGATCTCTATTATACGTCCATATGTTACCTGTGTCAAGGGAAAAAAAACCAGCGAGAAAGGTTGGAGGAATCTACGAAAAATATTTGTTCTGGTTTGTATTTGTGAAAAGACTTCATTCAGTTTCTGGAAAAAAAGTGACACCCACAGAAAGAATAACTCGAACTTAACTTCCAGACATTTTATTTGGTGTGTTTAGACTCTGCCACTGCTTTATGGGGCAGAAGCACGCTATGTATGAACTGCAGATGCAGCACATAGATCATATGCTGTTAAAATTGTGTAGTCTGAAAAAAGTCTGTTACAGATACACAGTTGGACAGCTGCTCTGGTATGATGCGGCAGTTTTGTATTGTACCATAAGCGTTATTTTTGGATGTGAACATGGTTTAACTAGCTCAAGGAGGATCACTCTGGTTTGAGTGATGCCATGTTGGCGCTGTGTTAGGAGAAAGGTTTTTGTGAAGTTTCTCTACAGCTGAATGTCCCTCCACTTGCTGCTGTAATGAGGAAGAAGACAACATGATCAGAAACCTCTCTTCTGTAGCAATCCTCAGCTCAGTTTTTGACTCTTTGGGACCACTGAAAAGCAACATCTGTAAGAACAGCTTTTGAATGGGACCAGCCCTCCATAGAGAAGCATCAGGATCAGCTTCAAATTATATTTTATTCTTGACTATTGAGCTGCAACTTAGTTCATTGCTGAAGGTATTACTCTCTTCCTTTGGTAATGAAAAAAAATAAAAAACGTGTGGGAACATTCCTCAACACAACTGATAAAAGATTTTCCCTTAAGTATCCGTTAAGAACTTCCTGCTTCATGCCACATATGTATTTGTATATTTATTCTAGGTACAATATGTGCTTTTGGTTTTTGGGTTGGAAATGAATAATGTGATCAAGTGAGGAGGATGTGGAGTTGACTAATCCATCCCCAGTCGTTACATAACTTTCCCAGTATGCACTTGAATGCCTTGTCTGGTCCAGTCAATACAGCCATTAGTTAGAAAACACTCATTTGTGCCTTGCATTGTAACTAATACAAGCTAATTTGATAAAATTGGGGGGAAAGAATGTTGTATTTTGCTTGATTTTATGTTTTGGGTTTTTTGTTTGGTTTTTGTTGTTGTTGTTTTTTGGGGGTTTTTTTTGTTTTTTTGATAGAGAGATTTTAAAACTAAGTTAATGACAGAATACAGGCACGAATCAGATGATGGTCATGTCTGAATGCTTCCAAATTTAGAGGAGCTAGTTCCAAGTTTTCTGGGTGGCCTTTAAAATATCTGAACTTTCAAATCTCGATCCGATTAACTTTAAAGAAGGTTCAGTTCAGGTTCAGAGCTGAACTTTATGCTTTGGGCTCATCACTTGGGCAATGAAATTTAACATAACATCCTACAGTGGGTGTTTGCATATATTAGCTAAAATGGTAGTAACAAATAGGGTGATTAGATGGAACACTGCCATTGAGTATGCATATGTCACACCTAGCTTTTGGTTATATTCTTTAGCCTATTTTACTGCCTCTTCTGGAGCTGTAAGAGTAAACACCTGCTTTAAAAGGTAATAAAAAATGAACATGAAATTGTGTCAAATTCAAGAGTGTCGCCGGGGGGACCTTAGAAAAATACATTTTTCTTGTCTATCTAGTTTTCCAGGAAATGACAAGCTAGCATATGCTTTCAATTTTTGAGGTCAAAGTTATAATTTTTGTTCACTAAGTTACATAGGAGAAAACTTTGAGGAATCTTTCATATTGCCAAATATGTAAAGGGCAGCGATGGAAGAAGAAAACAGAGCTGTGGAACAAAGTAGTTCATGCACGGAAGAGAGATTTATCTTGGCTCACCAGAGCCATATATAAACTTTCTTTTTGCTGGTGACTTAAGAGCAGACTACATAAGAGAAGCAGTTAATGTTCTGGCTTTGAGCTACGTCTCTTACTTAAATGCATTCTTTTAAATTTTTAAACAAGAGTCAATGAATTAAAACAGTAGTGAATATTTGTCTGGGTATAAGCTAGTGGTATTCATTTGCTTATAAAATTCTTGTGTTTCAGAATTTACAGCTCTTAGAAATGGATGTGTTTTTATCTTTGATTTCTCCATGAGCCAGTCTCTTAGGGTTGCATTTATGAAAATGTGGTAAAAGGCTCTTATTAAGAGTATAGATGGGTTCCTGTTCTCTGGATAAATACATATGGTTTGAAGACCTGCCACAACTAAAATCAAAGGCAAAATATCCAGTGATTTCATAGAACTTGAAATTAACCTGCCTTCTTACGTATCTTGCTTTAAATTCATGTTTTTAAGTGAAGGACTAGGAGGGGAAAAAAACACCCACTAGCTAGAAATTTTCAGTTGTCATATTTTATGGATTTCAACTTTTCATGTTGTAGCACTGGAGCATATTGATGTGACATTATTTAGCTGTGGCTTAGAAATGTACTTTTGCTGTGTAACTGACAGTTGGTAAGAAACTGGCTGTAATAGTTTTCCTGTATTTATAGTAGTTATAAAGCAGATCACATAAACACAAGTGGTTTTTGCACTAGAAATAAGTAAAATCATCTGAAGTTAATTTTAGGTGTATCAACAGGAGAACACTTGCCAGCTCTTGAGTGACCTGTTACTTTTACTGTTTCTTTCTTGGGGAATTTGGGGGGAGGAGGGCAACTGTTTATAATTACAATGTAATAAAAGATGCACTATATATTACATCACAGTGCCTAACAGTCAAATGTATAGGTCATGTTAAATTGTACATTACAGGATTGTGTATAGACCATGACTATTATAATGTGAAAAGACAAGTTGTTACCATTTTCTGTGTTGTTTTGCAGAAAGCTGTGACCTTTTATTCTGTTGTGTTAAAAGCAGATAATGGCAGTTGAAACAACTTACTCCCTTTTCTAACCCAGATAAGAATTGCATTATTTTGTGATTAAATGGAAACCAGAACAAATACTGAAAGGGCTTCAAGCAGCTAGACTATGCTATCCTAAAATACTGATTTTTTTTCTTAACATATTTAGAGGTCTCCTACTTTTTCTAGATTCTGGTCAGCTAGAACAGCAACTTGAGGAGGCCAGCACTGCAAGGCGGGAGTTGGATGATGCTTCCAGACAAATAAAGGCTTTTGAGAAACAGGTCAGAACTCTGAAGCAAGAGAGGGAAGATCTTAATAAGGTAAAAGCATTTTGTTAGCAACTCTTCTAAACCCTAAAGACTTTTTTTTTTTGTTGTTCATTTTGCTTGAACTAACTTCCAAGTGTAAAATTAATGAGCAGACAACAAATGTGTAGCTTAACCTACTTTGCTTTTTGCTTCTTTTTTTTAAGACAAGGACATTATTTAACGTGTTGTATGCATGACTCCTGGGTGGTCCTAGGTGACTGCTTCTAGATTCTGGTGGCTGCGAAGAAGTCTTTATAGTTTCAGATTAAGGTGATAATGATAGCAGTTAGACAGAGTAAAGAACTATTCCAGACAACTAATTTAATCTGAAGTATGGGTGAGACCGTAGCAGGGGAAAAAATGTTAAGAATATGGTATTAGGGCTGCGTCACAGAAGTGTTTCCAGAAGAGAGATGTGAAAAATTAGCCAAATATGAAGTTCGAAAAGTAATTTGTAAGAACTACGATTAAAGAATAGTTTGTTTTATTTCTTCTTCTCCTCTGTCTCCCCAATTCATTGTTTTTATTATTTATAACATACTGTCTTTCATGGCTCTTTTTAGTACTCATGATTAAATCAACTTGTAAATGTAATCGGCTGTGAAATACATTAGCCTGTTTCTCATCATTATTATATTGACCCGGTATTCTAGAGTCCACCCTCAATGTTGATGTGCCAGCTGTATTTAACACTGTTTCTTTTAACCCTTAAGGCTCTTAAAACTTTGAAAGCTGCCCGTTTGTCCAAGAACGATCATCTCTCTTCTAAAACAACTTGTAGTGATTAGGACCTCTTTTTAACAGCCTTAGATATTGCTTTTAAATTTGTATAGATGTCAACAATGCCAAATATTAATTCTTCTTGCCGTTCTTCTTTTCATCCTCAGACTCGCTTTTCCTTGCTTCTTTGTTCTGCTCCGGTTTGGCTGAGCATCGTTAAACTATTGTGTTAAACTGTTGTGGTCCCTCATTTGTAGTGCAGTAGCACAGATCTGGGACACAGCAAGCTTTGTGAAGGTATTGTGCTGTAGAGTTATAACAGCACTAGCAGTGTTATTTCACATGGGTTCTTGTAAAAGAATAATTATAATATATTGCTGTTAATCACTACAGTGTTTTGTTGCCTGAAACTTTCAGTAGTATTTGATATTGTGGTACAGTGTGTGGAACTCATTCTTACCATTGCAGGTCAGTTTTCAAAAGCGGACATTTTCATAGAGCTGAGCTTTCTGTTCCCTTTTTTTAATCATTTAGCAGTTGAGATTAGTGCTATTTTTTTTTATTCATTTAAGTATCTCTTGGAAAACTATGCTAATGACATTTTTAATTAAGAGATCAAGGGTTTTTTTATATTTTAATGCAAATGCTTGAAAGCCTTTGTGTTGAACCTATAATAATGGAGTAAATTCCAACTTGATTTACGTTTATGCAGTTTTACTAACTTTAGCAGTGTAAAACCTGGCCTCATTCCTTATTTATAGAGGCATGTAATCTGTATTGTAGATGCATTCATGAAAATAAATGAATATGTAGTTTCTATTCACTCTGGAGAAGGTGTTAGATGTGCATCCAAAGACAGATTTGGCCTTGCAGCTTTCTAGGTTTATTACTTCATTCTTTTTTTAAACTGTAGGAACTGGCAGAGTCTAGTGACAGATTAAAATCCCAAGCCAAAGAGCTGAAAGATGCACACAGCCAGCGGAAATTGGCAATGCAGGAGTTCTCAGAGATGAACGAGCGGCTGACAGACTTGCACTCTCAAAAACAAAAGCTTGCCCGCCAGCTCCGAGATAAGGAGGAAGAAATGGAAGTGGTGATGCAAAAAGTAGAAAGTTTAAGGCAAGAGTTACGCAAAACAGAGAGACTTAAAAAAGAAGTAAGTGGTGAGAAGACTGTTTAGAATCTATGAAATAGTAGTTATATGTCAGGTTTTCTGACAAAGTGATTTTTTTAATGTTATCTGTAAATCTTTTAACTCTTTGATTGTTGTTTCAACCAGTACCAATTTTGTTTTCTAAGAATTTGAAGTGTCCAGTTTAGTGATGAAGATTTGTCTCTTATATTGAAAATCATCAATAGATTTTGGGGGAAAAAAAAAAAAGTAAGAATCCTACCTATTAAAAACGTATGTACTTTTGCAGCTGGAAGTCCAAGCCGAAGCTGCAGCTGCTGAGGCATCCAAAGACAGGAAACTGCGAGAAAGGAGTGAACAGTACTCTAAACAGTTGGAAAGTGAAGTAGAAGGTCTAAAGGTTAGTCTGTTTTGATATTAACACCAGCAAACTTACTACTCAACTCGGACTTAGATCTGTTTGATTGCTTTCAGATGTAGGACAAAAGGGTATTATTTGTCACTTCAGTTGATGCTGAATATTAATGCAAGTATGCATCACATTATTGTCCAGAAAAATGAGCATTTGCCTAATGCACTTTTCAGGCCAGTGTGTTCCCTGCTTACTGAAGTGTTTGTTAATACCCAATTATATTTTACCAAAGTGCTTCCATTATTACTTTGTTTAACTTTACCTGCTAAAAGTGTTCTTTTGTAGTGTAGTGTGGCTGAGTATTGAACATAAACCTGCAGCCTCTGCAGGTTTTTGTATAGGTGTTTTGTGTATTGTGTTGTTCCTCAGCGTAAGTCAAAAGAGGGATTATTTCCTCCACAATAGATGCCAGCTGATGTAACTGCAAGGGAGAAGTTTTCATGCATTCTGCCTCTCAGCCAGAAGTTGAGACATTTTTGCAGAAGAGTGCCATTGAGCATGGAAACTTTGTTTATAAAACATAGATGAGATTGCTCACACATGTGTGTGTTTGTAGGAACAGAATTTAAATAAGTCAAGAATGTTAGCTTATTTTATTCTAAGATCTAGCATTTTATACAGTGCTCTGAAGAAATTAGACTTTCTCAAAAATTGAATGAGAAAGTTTTTTAATTTCCACATGAGTACTGCTGTTCATTTACAGTGAAGTTCTGTTCCCAATGTTTTGTCCAGTAGGATAATTCTAAACTTTTTGTGCAAAATGTTGGATTAGGCCTACTCTAGTCCTAATTTACATCAGTAATGGGTTTTTTACTAGAATTCTGCATGACGTTTGTCAATACTGAGTCACAGCACAGAAAATTCTGCATTTTTTTTCAAATTCTTTTATTCTACCTTCCTTTGTTAAAGAAAAATAAGGAATTCCATTCAATGTGAAATTTGGATTTATAAAGCTTCTACTGCTGTGAATTCAGATTGTTATCTGAAAATTAAGATGTGTTTCTTCTGCTTTCCTGAATCTTCACCATCAGCAAAGCATTTGTATGACAGTTTAAGAGGTGAGAGGAATTTATTGGAGATCTATTGAGAATAAACAATACGCTGATTTATAACAACAGGGCAAGTTTATCAGAAGAGGAAAGGGGGCTCATAGCTTTCTTAGTAATATTTCACAGTAAAGTAAGCACACTTTGGATCAGATGCAGTTGTTGTGATACTGCATTATCTGTTCAGTAAAAGCTCTGCATGGCTCCTTAGTTAAATTCAGGAGGCTATCGTAGAGAAAAGGTCAATATTTAAAGAAAAAAGGAAAGTCCTGCAACGCTGACTTGCTAGGGTTCTGCAAAGTTGTCAGTAAGCGTGCAGACAAAGGAGATCCAGTGCATGTCATGTATTTGGATTTTCAGAAAAATCAGGCTCAATGTGAGTCAGCAGTGTGGCCTGGCAACCAAGAGGGCAAACTGCATCCTGAGGTGCATTAAACAGCATCTAACTATCTAATGTGCCAGGAGATGCATTATGTCTCAGTTCCACCATTTGTCCACTTCAAGCAGGCATGTATGAAAACATCTGTTTGGAATTTGTGCTTACATCAGTTCAAAACATATTCTCTGTTTACTGTATTCCTCTTGTTCTGTAAGCCACTGTACAATACTATCCAAGTCTCTTCTGTTGCACCATCTGTCTTATGGTCTTAGTAGTATCTCTTTATTGAGGAAAAAAAGGTGAAATACCATTAAAACATTTTATGGACCTGATAGATGATGTTGCAAAGCCTAAACTTTGTATGTGCTCCATTGCCATATATGTGTAGGCAATTCAGCATGTTGGGCAGTAACAAACATTAAGTAGTTAACTGCTTGTGCATGACAGACAATTCCTATACTTTCTTGGGTTTTTTTCTTCCTTTTTTTTTTTTTTTTTTTTTTTTTTAAATCTTTATTTCTCCAAACCGTCTCCTGTTAGGATGGCATCTTCTTTCTCCAATTTACCATTCTGCATCCTGAGGGCAGGATTTTACTCTTAGATCAGAACAGATGGTCATTTTGATGAGTTAGAGAAAACAATGCAGTAGCAGCACATATCTGGCTCATACATTTAGGGGCTTTTGCAGTGTTCTGCTGACAGTAACAGCAAGGCCCAGCTTTCTGGTGGAATTTGTCATGGTAGAAATTCAGCTCATCTGAATGTTCTACAGTGACATTTAACTCTTAAAGACTATTCATCACCAAAAGAAAATTACCAAAACCCCTGATTAATTAAGGGTAACTGAAAGGATTTTAATATCTCATGGTAAGAATGGAGGTATAATTAACAAAATATCTTTGATCCTACTGAAGGTGTGAGACAGTCACCGTAAGGAAGCAGGTTTTCCAGTTACCTGCACTTTCTCAAAACAGTGTTTTTATTAATTTCCTTTCCTTACACTACCTTTAATTACATATTTAGAAAAGTAGAAGAAATTCCAAATGAAGTTATACATGTGTTTCCATTAAAAAGTGTTTCCGTACTTGGATTTCAGTGCGTGTCATGCCACTATCTCATTTTGAACCTGATCTTGCTCCTCCTCTATGTTATGGCAGGACATTGAGTTTAGTGAGTGCAGCATTTGGTGCAAATGTGTGTATGTATCCTGAAGCAATGTGTAAAGACTATTGAAATGCCAGAAGACCTCACTAAGAGAGCTCTGCAGCTGTGAAAAGTGAAGTAATTACTCTTATTGTTTAAAGGTTGTTTTTCCTTTTAATCCACTATGATGTAAATAGTCAGTTTGCTTAAAGTAGGTCAGGTTTCCCTCCTGGTTGCTGCAATCCATGTAGTGTTTCTGTTGCTGGATTTTAGCCTTCAGTTAAGCCTCTGCTTGTCTTTGTATAGTTTTTCCACAAATTATTTGTGCTTTAAAATGTGTTGACTGTATATCATAGTCCTTATTCTCCATTCCTGAAAGCCACTTGAACTTAGTGCTGTCAGCCATGTGAGTGGGAGCATAAAAATCTTTTAATTCTGTGGTCACCTCCTGACTGAAGGGGACTCTGAATGTGGCCAGCGATGTTTAAAGTGATGATCAAATTTTCAGTGGCCTGAAAACTGTTATTGCATTTAAATCACAAAATGATCAAGAGTGCAGTTCAGATTTATGCTCTAACAAATTTTCAAAAAAAGTTGAGATAGTTGTGTTTAACTGAAGTCTGTAATGGGATATTTTCTAAACATAGGCTTATGAATACTGTGTTGTTATTAAGCATAATTTTCAGGATTCTTGAGTGCTAAATTGAGGCTGTTTATTTTAGCAAAAACAGGTTGGTCGTTCACCTGGGGTCAGCAGTATAGAACACCAGCAAGAGATCACTAAATTAAAGGCAGACCTGGAAAAGAAAAGTGTATTCTATGAAGAGGAACTATCTAAACGTGAAATAATGCATGCTAATGAAATAAAAAGTCTGAAGAAAGAACTACGGGATGCAGAGAGCCAGCAGCTTGCCCTCAAGAAGGAGATCATGATTTTGAAAGACAAGTTAGAGAAAACCAGGAGAGAAAAGTGAGTATTACATGGAATTTACCTTCAAGCTCAAAACATGTTTTGAAGTCTCCTAGTATGTTTCCAAACACACTATCACTTCCTTCACTGTAGTGCAGACAGGTGCATTTTGCCTGAACTAATGCCAGGGTTGAAAGTAGTCACCTTTAAAAATACCACAGAGAAAAACTCCACAACTCTGTACTGAAAGAGTTAAATTTGCAGCAGAATTCTTGCAGTAGCTGACCATTCCAAAGTATGTAACTTGAATTGCACACTTGCAGCTTGGGCTAATATGTTGCAGTTTAAAATGGGTTTTTTGAAGTTTTTTTCTGTTTGGTATTTTCATCTTTCGATGCAAAACTAATATATTAGAGATCAACTATTGCTTTCATTTGCGCCAGCACAGGAACAGTCACGTAGTGCGGACTAAGGCTAATCCATGCTGGGTTCCATCCAGTGTTAACATCAGTCATCAGACTACTGTTGGCATAAGCTGCTTTATCTCTTCTGACATGGTAATTTGTCAGAGACCTGCTTTTTTCTCTCCCACGTGGTGGAGCTTATAACTGGCCTTGAGAATGTTCCTTCAGGCATTCATCAATAACAACAAGTTTTTCTGTTATAGTGTAGTACTGGAAATAGTCATAAATTGAATGTGTTCATTTTCGTTCATAAAAAATTCAGAATACTTTATAGAGACTAACACAGATGCTTCTTTTTGCTGCTGTAAGATAACAAAGGAAAAAAAACATGGAGAAGTTCCTAAAAAAAACTTTAGTGAGTCCTTAAATTTTAGTAGTAGATAAAATAAAGACTTTCTCAAAAAAGCTTATGCAAATAGAGGTGGAAACACTGCTTCTCTGGTAAATTATTTCCTGCAGAGGAAGCAGGTCATACAGCCTAGAATGCAGTGGATGAACTGTTTCTTCCTAGAATATAGCTATTCATAGGCTGGGAATATTAACATAGTAGTTTGCTGCTTTGTTCTAGTTTGAGAGGTAAAGCTTGCATCAGCAGCTTGTTTTCATTGTACCACAACTTAATGGTCTTACTGATCTGTGAGTTACAAATGCCTAAAAGGCTATGCTGTCTCATAATATATGAAGGTGATAGTATGTTACTCCTTTAATGCCATCTCAGTCCAGTGTCTCAGAAGGAGGAATATTCAATAAAGGATCATTAAAACCTCTTTCTGCAGGCTAACTGTTGCTAAAGATGATGCCTCCAAACACTGACCAGACCAAAAACTCCTTGGAGTTTTATCAGAACCAATCTAATGTTGTACAGCTACAAAAGTTCTAACTACATGTCCATCTAGTGAAGTAACAAATGGCCTAACAGTGCTGATCTGCTTCATGCGAGCTAGTTCATAAACCTTCTTTTGATCTAGTTTCTCTCTATAAGGATAACTGGATGCAAATCTAAAATGAATAAATGTAAATGTAACCATGTGTTTCTGTATGTATTTCAAATGTTGCTGTAAGAGGATATTTTAAAGCATGAAACAGAAGTGTGTCACATAACCAGAAACCAACATTTGGCTCTTAATGGCAAGGGCTTCAGCGTCATACAAAGTCAGCTGTCCAAGCACATGATGAGTGATTAATGAAGACCTAATCTTAACTGGGTTTTGTTAAACAGATCTGCAGAATGTCATGCAACTGTTCGGACTACACAGAAATGCAGAAGTCCACTGTTCAAGGTTTGCTACAGATTGACTTCTGTAGTAGTTCAGGGTTTTAGAAGGGAAGCTTAACTATGAGGAATGGAAGAATTGCTGCTCAGTTCCCAGTATTTGATAGTTTATCTTAAGAGGACATGGATTTTTTTGTTTCTGCTTACACATATTGTTTTTAGCTTCTGTAATCAGGCATGTGAGGCTTTTTTTGAGTCTGCCAGTACAGGGGTGTTCAATGTAACTGTTGAAAAGGAAGCACCTGGAGGCTTTATGCTGAAATAAGTGGAATTATTTCAACAATAGGCTTGGGGGCGGCTTGGGGTTGGAGTGTGAGTATACAGTTTGGGAAAAAGATTTTAGTAGATGAAAAATAATCTTTAGTGCATATTTAAAAAAAGGCTTTGATAAGAGGATGCAGTTGCATTACTTCATGAAGGCTATAGTATAGAGTGAATAAGATCTCAGTCAAAATCTGTATGTACTTTTTAATGGTGGTGTGTTTTTTCTTTGTTTCCTTAAATTTAAGCTTTCTTACTATTTCTTATTTCTTACTAACTTTTTTCTATTCCCAACAGTGTAAGTCTTCAAGGGAGAGAAACTACCTTTCTGTACAAAACGATTGCCCTTTGCTAAAGTCTGATAAACTGCATGCTATTAAAATTGGGAATGTAGGAACACAGTATCAGGCCAGTGATCTGTGTAGCACAATATTCCATTTCTTCGAATTGTCATAATGAAATATTTCAGAAGAAGGTGCAAGAAACTGTGTAAAATAAACCATGTTTGTAGCAGTTTCTTTTAAACCTGACATTTAATGATAGTTTTATAAAGCAGAAAGCTTTATAAAACAGTGTTTGCTGGTTTTAAATTGTGTGGTATAAAGAAGCCTGGGGGCTGGTGTTTGTCTCAGGTCTACTTTTCTTGGTTTCAAAGCAGTAAGATAAAATATTTCTCTACTTTGTACAGCCACAATAAAAAGCTGGAGTGACAAAGTGATACCATAAAGCTGTATTTCACATTGCTTACATGTGGTTTGCTGCAGTTATACTGATAAAAAGAAAGCTGAATCATGTATGATTTCTTAAACTTGAAGCATGGATACATAGCTAAATTTTAGATTAGAGAAAAAGCTTGATGGGAGAGGAGGATGCCAGGCTTCAAAGCAAATGCGTGATTTTGATCTTCCTGGCTGTCCAAGATATGCTTATGGAGCCTGTCACAGTTCTGTGGTTTGCTGCATTGATATTTGGGTATGATAGATTATACCCATGTTCTCCTCTGTTTAAAATTTGTCTTTTTTGTTTCTGTATTATACTATAGCAATCTTACTTACTGGGTTAGTGACAACCACCAGTTAAGAATTAAGAACATAAAATACAGGAAAGTATGAATCTTTGGTCTCCTTTACCAATCCAAAGCTTCCTTGATCCACCACCATTTATGGCTGCTTTGGGCCTTAAAGCCTTAAAAGAACAAGTTTTAGACAAATACAGAACAAAAAACCCTAAACAAGGCCATAAAAACATAAAAGCTAAATAAAAGAAATGCTTAAATAAATTAAAAATTAGTTCAGTCTACTCTCTGAGAATCAGCTTTGATTCTACGCCTTGCAAACAGAAGCAGGACCTGTTATTAATTCCCCTGACAGCCAATGCTTTAATCTCTTCCTGCCTTTTCCCTAGGCTGCTCATCATATGCATGGAATCTGTTGATACAGAAAAGGAATAGTGGTGAATTTCAAACTTGGCGTTTAAACAGTAACGATAGTATGTTACTTTGCTAGGATGTAGTGTTATGTTTCAAAGGATGCCTAGCAACATAGAATTTCACCCAGAGCCTAACATGCTGTACTAGATTTCAAAGAGTAGTTGAAGCACTAAATGAATTTCAAATTAGGAATCGGAAATTCAAACCAGCATTACTCTTAACCGGGTTCACTGTAACCACTGACACTTCTCATCTTTAAGGGTGTTGTCTCAATTGACAGAGTTGTAGTGGTTCTGCATCTCAGAAAAAGAGGCGAGGGTGTAGTTTCTCTGTTCCACAGTGTAAAATTCTGGTGGGTATTCAGAAGAAAATTTGCAATGTTCAAGGCAAGGTTTCCCCTTGAAATTTTAATTTTACAGAGCTAACCTTTTATGTTGGGCACTTTTTCAAACCTTTTAAGGCTGGACACTGGTATTTGCTGAATGGATATTTACTCTTATCTATGGCATTTATTGTATAGTTCCATGAGCCTACTGATGAACTTTGTACGAATTACCTGAATAACTGTGAATACAAGATGCCACAACATCATCTTACTGCAACTTTGCACATGTAGTGAGTCTCGAAAGAGTGGATCTGAGGTGGGACATATATGTCTACAAAATTGTAGTCCACCACTTTAAGGAAATTAGAATGTTTTTTGTCAGAGGACCTGCCAGGTTCTCATATTCATTGTGCAAGACCAAAGTTGATGTCAAGCAGAATCAACCAGGGGTTCTCCTCTATTCAGTGACATCCACAGAAGGGAAGGGTTGGGGGAAACAGCTACTTTGAAACTCTTTTTCAAAAAGAAGGGTCTAAGCCTGCTCTAGAATCTGGTGAAACTAGGAGTGTATAGGTTATCCATCCACTTCTTGCTGATAGTAAGTATACGGTGACTGAATTAACTTTTGGAGTGTATCCTCTGGCTGTTCTAAGTTGTCCAAAGGCTGCTGTCCATGTAAGTTTTTCTCATTAGAGATCCAGGCCCAAGTGCTCTAATTTAGCTTCTGTATGTTCTGGTTTCATATGTGGTCATTTCTGTCTGTCATTCTGGGTGCAGCGTGGAACTATAGAAATGAGTAAGTTAAAATAACATTTCTGTGAGCTGAGAATTTGCCCTGAATGTCTCAGAATATTGACACACTTTGGCCTGGAGAATTACAGCTGCTCAGTGTTTGAAGGATCATCTGAAGAATAAAATATGTATAAGTGGATTGATAAACATTAGCTCAGTGGAGCTCTATTAATTCCATACTGAAGGAAAGATCGTTGTTTAATGATAAAATGTAAGACTGTCTTACAGTCCTAAGATTATAGTATAATATATTACTTGCTTAGTTTTAATAGGTTGTGGTATTACCGATGTAATACTCTCCTTTCAGCTAGCGTATGCATTGATCTTGATATATATTTAAGTAGAGTGTGATGAGTTTTAGAATAGCAAAATTTCCTAATTCTCTTTCTAATTCTGCTTCATTTTATTTCTTAGCCAAAGTGAAAGGGAGGAATTTGAAACAGAATTCAAACAGAAGTACGAACGAGAAAAGATTCTGCTAACAGAGGAAAACAAAAAACTTTCAAATGAACTTGATAAGGTGAGTCCTAAGTTTACAACTATGGTATGTTATGTACAAATTTGACAATATAGAGCTGTATTGGTTAACTCTTAATTGATAGCAGAAATTAATATTACACCAAAGGTGGTGATGAATGTTTGATTTGAAGAGACAATATCTACATGCATCTGAATTTGAGAATGTGTGCACATATATATATATATGTATATATGCACATATGTGTATTTGTGTGCAGGAATTGAATAGACATGGTCTTATGGTTTAGTAAGATTAATGTTAGACAATATCTTAAGCAAAAAAAATATTATTTCATTGTATGACCTAAATGTAAAAATACGTAGTCAATGATGTGATTACATAGGGTATATTTGCACGTCAATTACTGTGAAATAACAGGGCGGCTCCCACCTATTGAGATTAAGTGTTACTTTGAGATATTAAAAAAAATACAAATGATAAGGCATATGAATTGAAGTGCATTGAGCAAGGAATAATTATGTTTCCTGCATTTAGATTATCTCTTTATTGTTCATTTTGACAGGTTATTCAAGTTCATTGTGGATTAGCCGAGTCTTGCTAAACTTGCCTATTCTTTTTGTAATGCATTAAATTTTCTAAAAACGTGATGACAGTACAGTGTTCTTCAAAGCAAGCATGTTTGCATGTCAGTGTTCAAATTTAAGTATATTTTCATACCAGTATAAGCAGTATACTATATATGCCTATGTGTAGGCTTAGCCCAAGAACAGTAAGAGACTAGTCAATTTTATAGGTTTTCTGCTTGGTCTTTTATTTCTTTTTTTTTTAAATTTGGTTAGCTTTGTATTTTTCTTCTCAAAGGACATTTAACAAATAGATATATTTAAATCATAAGCCCATTTAAATGCTAAATATTGAGTGGAGTACTTGTATTAGGAGTAAAGAGCAGACTAGATTAAAATGGATATTTTTCATCATTTTGATTTGTTAATATACTTCAGTGCTAAAGGAAGTCTTTCACATGAGATTCATTCTCACAAGCAGGCCTTCCTATAAAGTCTATCTGATCTCTGATTCCAGTTTGACTTTCTGAATAATTATTTAGCCTAATGAAGGTTTAGTTCCCAATACCAACTCAGGTTAGCGGTGGCTTTTGTCTTGCAGAATGTGGATGTATGAATGACAGCTATGTGAATGCGAGTGAGGTTAATTGCTAGGTATAACATATTGTACTTAAAGATATGCATTTAATTTCAATTTCCCTGTCTGCGAGTAAAATGAAAAATAGAGAATGTAGGACACCTGGAGAATTACAGGACTGACTTGTGCCTGTATCTCTTAAGCCTCTCATTCTCCATGGTTACTATACAAGGGAGAGGTTCAGTAGTTTTATCTGAGCTACAACAATTTTTGTGCCCTTGCTTTGCTCTTTTAATGTATTTTTTTCTTTATAGGACATTCCACGCCTATATGGTGCAAAGCATAAACCTTCTAAGAGTTGTAGAAGTATTTGGAGACTAATTCTCAGAAAACTAATGAATTAATTAAAGTAAAAATGTAGCCCTAGTCCTTAAAAATAGCCTTTCAGTAGAGCTAAGGTCATACAGGAGAAGAGATTCTGGCTTTTATTGTTACATGATGTTTATTGTGATGGATAGTACCAATTTTTAAAGCAGATGCACGAGGTGGGAGAGTGGAGCACATGGCTTTGAAGTATGCGCAAAGATGGAGTCACAGCAGCTTTATACATTTAACAAGTTGTTTAAATTCTCCTTCAGCTCACCACCATGTTTGAGAGGCTGAGCATGAATAACCGGCAGCTGGAAGAAGAGATGAGAGACCTGGCTGATAAAAAGGAGTCCGTGGCCCACTGGGAGGCCCAAATTACTGAGATCATCCAATGGTGAATACTCTGCTCTAATGTCATTGCAGAATTCCCTCCATATGTGGTAGGGCTGTTACTGAGGTTTTGCCTTTGCACATGGCACTTGTAAATGCTTAGGTGAAATCTCACACTCATCTGGGATTCTACTTTGTTTTTGCTTGATATTTAAATAATATCCAAATCCAGAAAATTGTGTTCCTCCTTAAGAGCAAAAGTGTCTTGGCAGAACAACATTTTAAAGTGGAGAAGAATCATGGCCATTGGGTGTGGCTTGTGGCTTTGGAAGAATGCTGGAAGGAGTCATGTGCTGAGCTCACGCCTTTGAGAGGGAGCAAGCCTGGGAAAAGCAGTGGCTGAGAGTATTTGTGTCTCGGCATTAATTTCCTTCATCTGCTTGGCATGTGACAGAATGAAACAAATAGTGCAGCTTGTATGTGATTTTTTTACAAGGGAGGGCATTTGAGACTACCACAAAGCTAGTGAAGTGATGTTTCTAAGAATACTTTTGCTAAATAGTGACGTTATGTTTCTAAAGTCTTCTATCCAGTTCTAGTAAATTAAGGGGAAAAAAACCCAGCAAGTTGAACCTACTAAGAGAAAAAGATTGTTTTATCTAGGTGGCCTTTATTTTTCTTCTCCATGCCTGCTTCCCTCCACTCCCCTTTTACGGTCCATTGCAGTATTTAGCATCTACAAAAACAGTTTGCATCCAGACTTTTTTTCCAAAGACCATCCACTTCTGGGAAGATTCCATCATCATATACTAATCTTTTTATGGTTTACTACTTGATTTCCACCTCCCCTCCCCCATTTTTCCCCTCTCATGTTACTGAAAAAATCCAATTTGTTGTGTCAAAGCAACAATGGGAAACATTTGTTTTAATGAAACCTAGTTTGCTGTTGTTGTATAATTTTGTTGTCCAAATACAGAGAAGTTTGGGTTTTGAATATAGCTATGTGAATATGTAACAAGAAAGAAGGGCTGTCCTTTAGGTCTGTCATTTCACATTCTGTATTGTTTTAAGTTAATGCTTACTTGTCTTAATGCTCCTAGTAAGGAAACCCCATTTTTCATATTTACGTGTGAAAGCACTCGTAAAACTTGTCAGTTCTGGAAAAAGACAAGTCAGAATTAGTTGTGTGTTGTTTTACTTAACACTGTAAAAATGTAACAACAGCCGTTAAGCATGTCCTTTCTCCAATTTATTAGAGTGTTTAATATTTTAAGATGTACTACTGATGTGGTTCAGGTATATGATAAAGCATCTTACAGATTGTTAGGGATGTCACTGTGGAGTAAAACAGGCTTGAGATTGAGGGGGTTTTTGTTATCTCTAAAGATACTTAATGAAAAAAGATCAGGAGCATGCAAGACTAACTTTCTGAATGAAAGATACCATTTTACTGATCCCTTATGATGATGTAGGTTCTTTTATAAAGTATGGAGCTAAAAATTAAAGAATTATGTGAAAAGGAATGAAAAAGTAGAAGTACTGTGGGCAAACATGAAGGAGATAAAAAAATCTGGCTTGGTTCCAGTTTTTGATCACTGTACACAACTCAATTTTCCCTCCATACTTCTCTCTCCTTACATTAATTTTCTTTCAGCTGTGTGAGGCCATATCTTAGCTCACATTTTTTTCTTATTATGTTTAGATTTTCTATGTGTTACCCAGATAATCTGGTACTGTCCATCTGCTGTCCTTAGAATTCAGTGCTGATTACTGAAACTAGGTCCTCCTCTGGGGATTTTTTTGCTGTGCAGCATGGGTTGTTGTGATGTGAAGTATTTAAACTTCTATACTAATGATAAACTTTTTAAAAGCAAAAACTAATCTTATTTAATTGGTCACAGCCTATGTTTTCCTCAGAAGAACATGCAATTTAAATCCACACCTGTCCACCTCTTCAGTATGGCAACAGAATGCCTTGGAGCTAACAAAGTAGAGTAGAGCTTGTAGGCTCCCTCTTCAAAACTAGCAGTTTTTTCACATCATATTACTTTAAAATATGTATTTTGGGTGCATACTATCTACCTCTTAAAAATGGATTTTGCCTACCATCTTCTTTTTGTACCATGATTCATGAAGCATAGGAGGCAGTAGATGAACTTAATTACTGGTTTTGTAAATGGTTTGCTCAGCTCCCTCTGATAGTTCAAGGAATTTATTCTAGCCCTGGTTTAAGTAACACAAGCCCAAGGAGTCCATTATTTCCTTTGAGTGCTTTGCCATCTAATAGATAGCCTCTGTCAGGAAATCTGCCCAACTATTTGAGTCCACACCTGGGTAGTTAAGGTAGTAGATGTCTTCACAACTCCTTGGATCCTTCTAAATTATTCTTTCAGATTTTATAACTTTTGAGTAATTTTAATGGCCTATCATGTTCCCTTAAGCCTTTCCCTGCTTTCTTACTGTGCTCTCTTGCATCTTGTTTAGGGCAAATGTATAAAAACCTTTTTAATTTTGTTGGTATTATCCCAAGATGCCATAAATATAGCCAAAATCTTAATATAAACACTTGAATCAAACTTTCATTGCAAATTCTAATGTGGTAGCAATAGACCCTCACAGATCGTTCAGCTTTAATGGAGCTATTATATTGACAAGTTTATATTCGCCAAATCAGTCATCATTCCTCGACAAGAGTAAGAAATATTGAGGCTTTTATAGTCTGCTATAAATTTTCCTGTAGGAAATGGGAAAGAGATTCATTGCATAGGAGGTTAATGCAGTCACTTTAAAAAAGGAATCTTTTAAATAGCTATGGTACTGTATTTCTGTTCTGTTGCAGAAAGGAGGTCGATGGAAGTCTTGGTAGTGATTCCCAGAGTACTTGGCAAGAATCTTAACTTGCTGGTCTCTCTGGGAGGGATTCATGTAACCTAGTTCCAGAAGTCCTAAGGTAGACAATTAAAATAAATTCCATTACTTGTACTGTAGAAATAAAATTTTCTTCCCACTGATGGGAAAGGAAGCTTAGACAGCTAGTTCAAATTAAGAATTCTGTATTCTTGAGTATGTTTGTATGGATGACCTAAATCCCATCTGATTTTACCTGTAGAGTGGATGTTAGGCTTAGATTCAGCTGAGGCCAGAAATTGTGACTGTTGTTTACCAGAAGATTCAGTTAATATTCTCCTTGTTGACTAGATATCTTTTCAATCAACTGCAGAATGGTTGATTTTTATCTTAATTATTTATTTCAATTTAAAAAAAAAGAAAACAAACAAACAAACCCTTCTGCATTAAATCAAGCATTAAAAAGCCCCAAAGTTGTTATCCGAGTTCTTAAAACTGATTGCTCTCAGGAGAAAGCACACACAAATTTTGGAAAAGATTTAGAGAATGATGATACTTTGAAAAACTAGTACAATTCTGGGAAAATTGAATTATAAGAAATGTTGAAAATTTTTAGAGGAGTAGTTTCAAAAAACAAATTTTGTTTGAGAGGGGAGAGGGAAAAGAAATAATTAAGTTGGAGGTGTTGAGCATAGTGATATTAAGACAGAAATTTAAAAGCTTTGAGAAACTACAGGGGAACTGGGAGTCCTGACTCTCAGACTTTGATAGGGTTTTCAAATCGGCTGAGATGCAGCTTGGCATAAGACCCCAGGGCTTCAAGACCAGTCCTGTTCAGCAAAATTCTCTAGTCATCTGGGTCCATTTTGTATTGTAAACTATCCTGGATGGAGAGAGACAGTATCTGACTTTCCTAGCAGCCGGACAAGTAACGTACTAGATATTAATCAATGGTTATTTGAAGGTTGTCGTGATGTTGGCTCCAAGCAAAAAGTTAAATTTATTTTACAGAAATTTGTATGATATCACTGGTCTAGGTTCTTTATAGATAATGAACTAAGCTTGCAAGGGAACTTACGTTATGTATGAAAAAAGAACAGTTAATCTAGTCTAAATTTTCAGTAAAGAAAGAAGTGACTCTGGGTGGAACCCGAAGAACTTTTCTTCCTTAGGTTTTTTGCTGTGCTTAGTAGGACTCTCTGTAAGAAGGCAGGCAAGGAGAGAAGCATAGTAAGGATAACTTTACCATTCTTACTCCATGTTTTTTTTTAAAAGGCAAACCAAACCAAAAAAAACCCCAGCAAACCAGAAACAAATCAAAAAACTCCCAAGAGCTCCTGGGTTCTCATAATGTTTCATCAATGTATCTCATTATCGAGAGTGTGTTGCCATCTAGTGGGCTCTCGCGCCAAATTGTACTCCTTTTATTACTATCTTTAGGAGTCTGAGGAGTTTCTTTGAACTCAGTATAGTTTTTTGCAAAAAGTTGACTTTATATGTATATTTTCGTTTTCTAGATTTCTGCATGTTCTGTGGAACATCTCTCTGAGGTTATGGCATGTGCATCTTTTCAGAGTTCAGAGTCTGAAGGTTCTGTGCGTCATAAACCAAATAACGGAAGTGTTTTCTTACCTTCCATAAGTAAGGATCTGTATGGCATGATAAAAATTTACAAGGAAATTGGATATTTACAGTTTTTCAGCTTTAATTAGAAACATTAAAAAATAAGGCACCAATTCAATTTATTTTTAATCTGACATGGTCCTCTTTTTCTGCAAAGATTTTGCGTGTCATTAAAAACAGAGTAGAGCAAATGCTGATTCCTAAATCTCTTTGCCCTTCTTTTATATCAGGAAAACTTAACTTCTCACCTTGAGAGCCTCACATTCTTTTCACTCCCGTTTATGCTTTTTTTTTTGTGTAGGTATTTATGCACACCCCCCGCACCCTCCCAAAAGCATCTTATGTTACTTCTCACGTCTTTTGCCCACCCTTATACCCTAAGTGTTTTGTATAGGCCAAGATTATCTGCATCTGCTTGTCCAAATGTGTCATCCAGAATGTTGTGGGTGAGAAAAGAGTTGGTATGCTGCTTCTGTTAAGGTCTAGTATACCTTGGGAAAAATAGTGACTCAATATCAAAACTCTCACTGACTTTATAATAGAGGCAGGATATGTGGCTTTTTTCCTGGGCTCCTCCGCACCCCTTGAACTAAATTATAAGCAGGAGACAAGGAAGATAAAGCCCAAAGCATGAAGAAGTACTTATTTTCATGTTGGGTGTGAGTTTTGTGGCAAGTGGTCGCTATTTTTGCATTAGCCTTCTCTGTGTTAAAGCAATCTTCCTAATATAAATCTTAAACTGCACAGCCAGCAGTCACTGCACCCTGTAGATGTTTAGCCCGTTGCTTTGCATCCTGATCTTGCCCTAACACCACTATGGAAAAACTTCTGTTCCTCCCTTGCCTGTGGCAGTTCAGAGGATGTGCTCTTTGTCTTTCTCGCCTCCTGGTGACTGTAAATCTTTGTTGAAACATTGTATTATTTTTGTTAATTAATGGTAAACTTGCAGGTAGCACAATTTCAGTATTTGCTGTGTGTATGAACCCCATAGTATCAACCAGAGATTAGGTTGCTGTATAGGCATGGAGGGGGAATCACGTTCTGCAGAAAGGTCACTAAGAGACAAATTCATCCTTCTGGCCAACTCTCATCTCCAGTCCAACATACTCAGGATTACAGTTACTAAGGAAAGATCAGGAAGCAAGGATAAGTTAGTTTCCATCAAGTAGAAAATCCCTTTTCCCACTTACCTATAAGTTATTTAAAACCATTTGGTGTTCATTACTTGGAGCACATCCTAAGCGTTTCTGTGGCTAGCGTTGATAGATGTAACTGTGATCAAGCTGTCGTGTTAGATGGGTGGTCTCTGAGACCAGCTCTGAGTACGCCCTGGTGTTGCAGAACTTAGTTTGTTCTTCTGTGGGCAAGGTGAGTATGTCCAGGGCCAGGCATGTGAGGTGAAAGGAAGTGCGTGGGGGTTTGTTTGTTTGCTTGCTTTTTGTGTTTGTTTGTTTGTTTTCAGTTTTTCATAAGCTACTCAGTTTCAGTCAGGTAATTTTTTAGCAACTTTCTTTTCTATGTTAATACCTGAGGCAAAGTGAAGAAAGGACCTTCTGCTGTGATGAATCATAGAAAGTTTTTTTCTTTGTAACTGATGATCAAAGAATCTGAAAAACAGACATGTCTCCTCCTTGATGTCTTTACACCCAGAAAGCATGTCTTGATAGAAGGAAAACTTGGGGGATGAGAGAGCTGCTTCTGGCTTATGCCGTTTATAACATTAGAATTAGACTCTCCCTGTTTAATTACCACTTCTTGAAATAACATCACTGATTCTAACTACTAGTTCTCATAGTCAGTTGATACAGTGAAGTCAACCACTAGTTCCAATATTAAGTGGGTGGTTGAATTGTTAATTATCGGTTATAAATGTTGTCTTAATTTGCTCCCTAAAAATAGGTTGAATCCTGAAAGGTTTCTTTCCCACAGTCTCAATTTCAGGTAGCTGACATTTATACTGAGACATGTATTACTTACTTAGATACGTAGTTCTTCAATCTTTATTCCTTGTCTTAGTGATGCATATTGTCTAATGGAACCCTGCAAAGCAGCAAAAGCTTAGTTTTGTGTGGTTTTCTGTATTGTTTTGTTTCCTTATGTTTTATGATTTTTGTTTTGTATTCTGCTTTTTTCTGTTTCTGCTTGCTATTTTTTGAAGGGACTTTTATCTTTTTTTTTTTGTTTGTTTAAATTGTTTTGTTAAAACACCTCTTTTCTTATGTAATTGTTTAGGGTAAGTGATGAAAAAGATGCTCGAGGTTATCTTCAAGCCTTGGCCTCAAAAATGACAGAAGAACTAGAGGCCCTGAGGAACTCCAGTTTGGGTGCAAGAGCTACAGTAAGACTCTTACTTCCATGTGGCAGATTTTTTTCTGTTTGAAAAAACACTAATTCGCTCATTCTAGCTGCAGTGATAACCTGTCTGTGGAGTCTGTATTAGTCAAAAGTTAACCTTTCCTAGAGTTTCCCTTCTGAATAACTGAACAGCGAATTTATTGTTCATCAATTAATTAAACACCAATATTTTTTATAATGTGATTTTATCTATGGTATTATTCAAGTAGCTACGTTATAATCATATATTAATTTGTTGAAGGATATCTATACTTTGGGTCATGAAAGCCTTAAAATGTTTCACTTGTGAAGTCTGAATGTCTTTCATAGCTTTCATTTGAATTGAGGAACACCAAAACTGGAATTCACTAAATCTCTTTGCTTTTGAGATTGTGACAGCATAAGACATTCATCTTGCCTATTTAGTACTTGAGTTTAAAAATAATAATACTAATAGCAATACTCTTCTTTAGTTTTAGGTTACTTTGGAATTAACGAACTCTTACATTAAGAACATAATAGACTGAGAAATGTAGTTGTTGAAGTTAGTTACATTCCTCATTTTCTGCTTTCTTTCCTCTTATTTTTTCTTCTCCCTTTTTTTGTTCTTTACTAGGACATGCCCTGGAAGATGCGCCGCTTTGCAAAACTGGATATGTCTGCCAGGTTGGAACTACAGTCTGCTCTTGATGCTGAAATCCGAGCCAAACAAGCTATTCAAGATGAGTTGAATAAAGTCAAAGCTTCCTGTATCTCTACAGAGTGGTAAGACTGAATTGTTCTAATGTAAATTTACTTTGAAACCTCCCAGGGAGTGTCATCAAATCATGATTTTAAACTATCTTGTCTGTCAAAATTCGATAATGAATGATATGCCATTTTCTTGTGTCCAAATGTGAAAAAAAGACCATCTCTCTCTTCGTGGTGTAAGCACCTGAACACTTACTGGGAAAATCTGAAACCTTGAAGACTTTCAGAAGGGATGCTTTCTCTTTAATAATATAGTCTCTACTAGTTGTGATAAAAAGTTCAAATACAAGCAGAGTTTAGTTATTGCATGCTGATTTGCACAGCAATAAGGTGTGCTTGTGGAAGATTACTAACTATTTTATTACTTCCTCAGACCTCTCCCCCTTACCCTCTCCCCCCAAAAAAAAACCAACCCAAAATATATTCTGAGTTGAGTGGCTGCCTGAAGCAGTGATTAGTTGGAAGACATTTCAGTGTAGCTCAGAGCACTGACTTGTTTTGCAGCTTTAGGAAAGCAGTTGGACGGAGCTGAGATTCAAGTATGTTATCTGTAAAGTGGGAATACCTTGTCCACCTGACTTGGGTGTCTTTCAGACCGGGTAACGTGATGATAGGCAGCCTTAGAGATCCTCTAAGAACAGGAGAACCAGTGTTTGCTTTGATAGGCAAGGATGAAAAGTGTGGTAGAAGTGCATCATAGTGTTACCTGTCAGCTGTGAATCGGAAAGCACTGAAACAGGGTGGTGGGTTGACCCAGGCTGGACGCCAGGTGCCCACCAAAGCTGCTCTATCTGGCACTGGCTCTGTTGGACATGGGGGAGGCTTGTGGTAGCTTCCACAGAAGCCACCCCTGTAACTCCCACCCACTACCAAAATTTTGCCACACAAACCCAGTACAAACAACTAACTGTAACGTAACTGAGAAGAAAAATAGTTCAACATAACCTATTAGTATCACAGGCACTGTGAATTAACAAATTTTTAGAAAACCACAACAAATTTTAAGTATGAAAATACGTGTGGTCTTTTTTCACATTCACAGGATACAGGCTCACATGATTACTCATAAATTAGAAACACGAGCCTATTTAATGGGTAAATGGGGCAATTAATTGCTTGTTCTTTTTTAAGATAATAAACCATACTAAACAGGTCCCAATAGATTTCTGAATTCATTCTGGCATTTGATGATATCATGAAGCTTGCTGGGCATTAATTTTTAAATAGCATGCAAAGATGGACAAAAAAAAAAGTGACTTGTATCGTGTGTTCTCAATATTTACGTAAGTTTTCTGTTTGTATTCTTTTGAAGTAAATTGCAAGAATCTGAGAAGAAGAACATGGAACTGTTGGCAGATATCGAAAGGCTGAAAAAGGAGACAGAAGAGCTTAGATCAGAAAAGGGTATGGCAACTGATATCCAAGTAGATAACATGTTTCACATTGGTGGGTACATCTTATCAATTAAGTGTCACCTTGCAATTAAAATATGATACCAACAGATTTTGGCATACAAAATGTGAGCTCAACAATTGAATGTTAAGATGTACCCACAGCAGCTGCATTTGCACTTCTAATGCATACTTGTAATATGCTTCAGTTTTGTTGATATACTTTGAACCAGTAAGGTATTATTTGAGTTGGAACTGCATTATTTTTATTTGGCATGTGTATGGTGATTTATAGTTATATTTTTTCCCCCTTTATGATGAGTGAAGGTATTTAGATGCCAATACTGATCATAGTGCTCTTCATCTATGAGTGTTTTGGGGCTGTCTACACAGAGTAAACAACTCCAGAGGCATTCATAGCATTCGTTTGTTTCTGAGATGACTTCATTGATTGGCTTTGTAACCACATAGTGAGCAGTGTGGTCGTGTTTGCTTTGCTGTGGCATTAAGAGTATGTTCTGGGATTTCTAGTACATCTGTCTAACCATATTTCGCATTGTTGCTGGGAGAAGAGACTTTTTGTTAATACTGAAGTGAAAAAAATCATTTAGAAATGATTAATGATTTGGCTGATTCTTTGCAGTTTCTGTAGTAGCTCTAATATTTGTATCTTATGAGTCACGTGGGAAGAAATAGTTTTTCAGGCCAAATGGAATTACCTCATTGCTGCAGGGACCTGTTTGAAATCCACAGTTTCAAAACCCTGGCAACAATTGCTGCATAGGGATGTCAAATATTGTTTGGCCTTTGCAACCTCATGGCATGTTAATCAATAATAACTGATTGTAGTTAACGTTCATCTCCAGTATATATAGGCCTCCAAGTGCTGGTTGACTGGGAAAAATAATACAATAAAACAAACCTGTATAGAACATCAAAAAATGACTGGTGCCATGTACCAAATAAGATTTAGGGAATTGATGTTTGTTTGTCTTGATGCTTAGCACTGACACCAGGATTATGCTTCTTCCAAGTTCTTGGAGAAGAACCCTTGATAGCATCTCCCTGGAGACAATAATGCTTTGTCATGTTTAGTTTTCATTTATAGATTCTTGAAGTGTCTTAAATATTATGTATGCTTATTCAGCTTCTGAAAGACTTCTTTGTGTTACACAAGCTGTTAAGGATTTATAATTAATATTTCACCCTGTACTTTTTCCAGTGTTTAAGACCTTATTGCTTTTGTGAAAATAGTTTTTTTTTTTTTAAAGGTACTGTTCAAGAAAAATGTAGTTATTATGCTTTTTGCCAGAAGTAAATTAATGAGATTTTATTGCAACTGTTCAAATATTTTGATAGAAATACATCTTAATCCAAACTCTGCATTATTTTTGGGCTTGCTTTTCTCTTATAAGAATAATTATATTGATGTTTGAATCGTGAACTGCATAGAGGATTCAAATGTAGTCAATGTACAGTGGTAGAGTAACTTCCTGTGTGTGGAAATTGATTTCTAGGAAGGTATTACTTAGATTAACACTTGAATCCTTTGCTCTTTATAAATGTCTTCCAGAAACTTAGGAGGGTGGGGAAAAAGATTTCTAAAAGTGATTATGTAAAATAGCAGGTAATTTGAGAAATTTTTTTTTAGCCTTTTACTGGGGTTTCAGTGTATTTATATTTTAAAGAGGAAAGGGTTCTTTGTAACTTCTTCATTCACTGTGGGTTATATTTAGAGCAAACAGTGTGATTTGACCAGTTAGAGTAAGGCACTGACTTTTTTTAATAAATAAGTGACCTTTGATAGCATCAGTCTTTTGAGATGCACACAGTTCTGCAGGCTCTGGTCATGATAAGTATCTGTGTGTGTGTGTGTATACACATATAAAAGCTATTTATAGTGCTCAGAAAGCTAGAGTTTGCACATTTGATTTATAAACACCTACAGCAACTTGAATTATGTCCCAAAGAAAAGAAGAAGAAGGAAAAAAAAAAAAGTCGGTTGAAGCAAGTTAAAATAACAGTCAAGACGTGCCAGTCTCTGCAGCTCCAGAGGATGCGGTGTTCCTGCTCTGCTTACTGGCTGAACACCGTATGAATGGTGTAGCATGACAGAGACATCTGAAGCTTTACCCAGGATTGTATTACTCCCGGACATTCAAAAATCAGAGGTGCCGGACAGGCATAGAGCATGGGTCAAGGAACCCATGTTATTTGGAAATGCATTGTGTTCCCCAAACAGCCTGGTCCATATGTTTTTGTGGACTCTCACTGTTTGCTAAAGCTGTGTTGTCACAGTAGGCTGTCCAGCCTGTGACTGGAGCAGGGATGAAACCCGCTGCGTTAGTGTGTATGCCTGTATGTCATGCAGTGCACGTGCAAAATGATGTAAGCACACTAGAAACCTGTGTCTTCTGTGTAATAGACTTGTACAAACATGTTGAATTCACATCACACACATCCCAGCTTGGAAAAGGTTGGTTAAACATACACTGCTTGCTTACTGGGTGTGTCTATTAAAAAAAAAAAAATCTTTTCCTCTGGAAAACAGACCAAATGTGACAATTTATTTTAAAAAAGTGTAGGTGGTTCAGGTGGATTACCAAACCCTGATTCAGCAAGGCAAAGGTCCTCCATGAAAAGGTCATTTTTCTGTAGCTTAAAAACCTGCTGCTGTTTTCTAGGTGTAAAGCACCAAGACTCACAGAATTCTTTCTTGGCATTTTTGAATGCGCCTACCTCTGCTCTGGATCAATTTGAAGTAAGTGTACAGCTATTCTAGCTTTCTGTAAGTCAGTGGAACTACTGCTGTTATGTGCAGGTTATATGCGTATTTGCTGACAGTTCGCTACTGTATTTTAATCATATTGCCCCGTTCATTTTTCTGTATAATAATATGTGAGAATTTTTTGTCATTTACAGTGCTGGCAGTCTACACTTGAACTCTAGTAATCATAGTGAATTCTCTCTCAGATCTTGAACGCAGAAATTTTCCTGATTTTTGTAGTGAACAGAAAAAGAGTTGTTCAAATTACCCTATTTTGTGTTCAGAAAGATGCTAAGTAACACAGATACTGGTTTGGTAAAAATGAGAGAAAATACATAAATAATCCTTGAATGTATGCCATTAAATCATTGTTAGTGTATATTTATTAGCTTGTTTTTATCTTCTGTTCATTTTACACAGCTCCCTAAAATCCAGATGATTACTATTCATGTCCTCTCCACAGATCCTATGTACTTAAAAAATAAATTGTTCAATTCCTTTGTCACTTGTAGTCAGAAGACCAGTTTAGGTAGGAAACTTGGAAGACAAAAGTTGAAATGGTGCTGTACATTTCGTATCTTCTTTTTTTAATCAACAGTAAGCAATGCCTCCTTTTCTTTTGAAAGAACAGCTGGGGTGAAATATTGGTTATACTGAATTCAGAGGGGACAAGGCACCACCTTTACAGTTACATATTGGTCTAAAATTTGCCCGTTTTCTTCCGTGATGGGTGTACAAGGTCATCACATACAGCTATGGAGGATCATAATCCCTGGTGTTATTGGTGTTCCAAAATGTACTTTCTTTTCATTGTGTATTCATTAATTCATTGTTCTCTCTTGAAGCCCTCACAATTAATACCTTTTTTTAAAATATTTTTAATTATTTATTTTTAATATACTTTCAATATAAAAATCTTGTTGGGAGTGTAGGAATATTACTTTATTGAGTGAATGCTGGGAAAACATGTTTTATACAGGTAGTTTATTGATTAATTGTCTGTGAAAGGCAATTAATGAAAACCTAAGTGAGGTTACTGTTGCTGGCACTAGTTATTTACCGTTCTTTATTTTTGCACTTTTATTTATACTGAACAGTTTTCTTCATCCATCTCTTTCTCTCTCTCTTTTTTTTTACTGCTGTTTTCATTAAAATAGGATTCCTTTTCCTCCTCTTCATCCTCATTGATTGATTTTATGGATGACGTAAGTCTTTGACTTTCAAACCAATAAATCCCTCAATAGCAGAGATCAGCTGATTGATTTAGAATATTCAAACATTAATGCAGTCAACTTAAAAAATGTCTAAGCGCAGTGGAGAACAGAATACTACAATAGCATACTTTACACCTATTTATATAGATAGATGTTCAATTTGAAAGTAAATGTTTTTATTTAGGTACAGGTGAAGAATTCTTAATTGCAAACAGTTTTTTTAATGGGGAGAAGTTGCTTTAGAGCCTTATCTACTGATACAGCCTGTGGAAAATGGTTCCAAAATCACAGGCATCTTTATTTTATTTCATTTAGTTTCATTGCTTCGTATCATTAGTTGTTTCCAAAAGTCTTCTGATCACTTCATTCAGAATGTGTTCCTTGCATACAGTTAATTTCTGTTTGCTCAAATAAAACATTATCTCTTTTTTAGCCTGTATTGTAAGAAGTAATTTTCATTATGACTGAACTTATTACTTTTTATTGACAATTGAGATGATAGTTTTCTGTCAGGACAGTGTTTAAGTATTTACCCAGATTAATTACATACTGAGGGAAGTGAGTTAAAAGCTGAAAAGTGACTGCATTATATTTCTTCCAAACTGAAGAAGTAGGCACACAAAGGTAGATGATGATGATAATAATAATAATAATACACTTTTAAAAATCAAAGTATATACTGTGCGTCCATGGTAGAGAACGGTTACAACTCTGTAGGTGTATTGTGTGTGTGTGCTTGTATATATGTCTATACACATAAACACATTTATACTTATATATTTAAAATAGTATAATCCTGTTTGCATTAAAATGTGATATAATTAATTTTATTCTAGAAATGTCTGCTGTGAAGGGTGTAACAAAGAGGGTGTAGTATATGGGCCTATTCTACTGACTCCATTTCCTTTCACAAACTCTGAAAGAATGCTTTTCTTCTAGATGCTTTTTTTTTTTTTCTGTAAACCAGGAATATACCTTAGGAAAAATGTGAAGGCACATCTGTGGTACCATAGTAGAAGTAGAAGGCATTTGTCTGCATTTTTCTATAGCATGTAGAAAACCTTGTCCTTCTGATATTGTTGGAATTTTCTTACACCAAAAAATGAGAGTACAGTTTCCTGTTATGTTCAATCTACAATAAATGAGTAATATTTATATCCTTTATCTGGATTAAAGAAGTGTTCTCTATGTTGCCTGGGAATTAGGAAAACTTAGCTTGAATCAGCATGTTCTTTCACAGAAGGTTACCTTTAAAAATCTCTAATGCTCTCTCCTAAAAGCCATTTAAAAAATAAAGTACATATGTGGCAGAGTAGTTGATAAGGTTCTATTTTGCAAGGGGAAACTTTGGGCAAGAAAGTTTTCCTGGTTGTTATGCTAGTTAGTTTTGAAGGACATCAGTACCTTATTCTGTATTTATTGTTGTGTTTTGGTTTTTTGTATTTTAAAGAAGGCAACTTATTTTTTTCACGAGCATTTTGACAAAATCACTTTTTTTTGTCTATGCAAGTGAGTAATTTTCAACTGCTGGCATACATCCTTTAAGACATTCTTCTTGATTGGTCCACCCTGATCAAATCTTTTCGGATACCCGTCTTTTAGTCTTTGGTAAAACTCCAGGTATTAATGTATATATTGTTGCATGTGAATGACTTAATGCACACAGAATCAAACTTCCGTTGTTACATCTTCACTCCGAGTCCAACAGGAGCAGTTTTTTCCCCAGTTGCATTGGGCAAGAGTACCTTTCCGACTGGACTGGCCAGGGGCTAATGTCTCTAGCACCAGGGCAGATTTCTTTCTCATCTGGCAAAACTGCAGAAGAGTTGACTGTTCAAAGACAGGAGGAGTACCTTGCAGACAAATGCAAGACTTGTTGAGTTACCTGTCTTTATTGGAAAGAGAAATAAAGCTGATATCCACATTAGTAGCTGAAAGGTGGTATAATTCAGTTGTGCTTAAAGTCAGTTCTGCATCTTTCATTTATTGGACAATTACAGGATTCATTCATAGTGAGATTCATAACATATAGCCTCTGAATTATCAAAATGGTTATTTCTGTTTTAGCCCATTGAGTTGTTTCACTACCAATGTACTAGGCAGACTTAAATGAAAATCAGGGTATTAAAAAAACCCTCCCCATTGGGCGTGGGGAGGGATTCACTTTCCAGTGTCTCTTCTTGACAGTAGTTACCTTGAAGGGCAGTGTTTCTTGTGGCATTTCAAGAGGAATTAATCTGTGCTCAGTCAAACCTGTGTGAGGTCTTTATATTAAGACCAAGGAAAAATTAGAAGTGCTCAGGTCAGACTCATACAGTGCTGCAGTACTGGATGCGTTTCAGGAAAGTCTCTTCTGTAATCAATAACTCAAAGTAAATATTACTAATAGCCCATGTTGTTTCTCCAGACTCTGTGCTTGGAATGACAGAGAGAGTGTAAAATAATATGCAGTTGCAGTTACATAGCACATCTCTGAAGTCTAATTAACATTCAGATGTATAAGCAGCACTGGATTTGGCCCACTGCTTGCATTTGGCTTTTACTAGGGTGGGTATGCCTTGTGTGTCTGCCATCCGAATAATGTCATAGTTTATAGCACTCGATGAATGGCTGAAGTTAATTCTAATTATTTCAATGAGGAAACCGGTAGCTTTGCAATTTCTTCTGGAGGGAAGTAAAAATAGATGTCCCACTGCCTCTGTAGCCTGCAAATCCTGAGCAAGAAAAGTAGGAGCTCACTATTTAGATGACTAACAGCCACTGTTGTTTCCAGCTATCAAAACTGCAGAAAGATACTTGGTCAGGTTGGCAAACCTGGTGCCTAAATCCTCATAGCTGTGGAAGTCCAGTGTTCAGAAGTGATCCTTGTGTCTCCTGTCCACACAGGAGGGTGCAAGGGGGAGTAGGAATGGGTTTTGCTGTCCCTGGTTTCTGTTTTTGATGGGCAGGGAAGTCACCTCCAGTGAATAATATACTAATCGCTAAATCTTTGCTGCTGTTTCTCCTGTGTGTTGCAGGTTGTCTCTCAATAATGTTGTCTAGGTGTTAAGTCTCCTGTGTTGACTAGAAGTGTCTGATAATGGAAGTGTTGTTTTTTTGCCGGGTGGATCTTTGTGTATCTCACTAGCTACTAGAAGCGATCAGCTTGCCTTATTTAAAGATGAATTTGTGATTATGTAATAACAATAAAATGGACTCCCATTTTCCCCACTTGCTAGAAAATAATTTTTTTTCCCCTGTTACCAACACGTTACAAATCAAAAATAGATTTCTTAAATCCTCCTGCAAGCTGTCCTCACGTGCAGTCCCCATGGGCTTTGGTTAGACTAAACAATATTGAACTTTGTAAATAACCACACAATAAATCATGTTCTGAATCGTCATTATTAAATACTAAACAGAATAAGCCATAGTAGTGTGTGATGAGAGCCCTGATTCTACCTGCACATTCATAATTAAGTTTAGAATAATACTGGTTCTTAAGGATGCTTTAAATTGAACATATTATGCCTCTAGGAGGTTGCTTTATTCATTATGTTCAAAATATAGAGATGCTAACTGCAAATCATGCTTATTAGTGTAACGTAGTCTGCAGTTTCACTGCTATTGTCCAGTGCAGAACTACAGACTTTAAAGTAACTGTTCCTTTATTTGATGTTTATTTCCTCTTGTTGCCCCAAAATATCTTGTTTTCAAAATCCTTGTAAAAGTGAAGGTTTGTTTGTGTCTAAACACTACCTCTGGAGATACAGAGAGCCAAATTCTGAACTGATTTATGTGTCACTGTTTGGTTTTGTAACATATTCTCCTTTCTTTGTTAAAGCGCTCTCCTTCCTGTATTCCAGCTAACAAAGGCAGACGTGTAAGAGGCTGTCTTATTCTATGTGGCCCTTTATTTTTTTGCCTGTTGCATACATGCCCTTGTTTAATGTATGGATTGTGTATTTACCCCACTGCATGTCTTGTGCTGCTGCTACCGTTTGCTGCTGCTGCTGTGCTTTTTGTTGTTTTGCAGCTGTGGGCTAAAAGCTTTTGGAGTATTTAGTTTGGTAATCCTACGAGCAGAATATCACAGCCACTGGAGAAGATGCTTTGGGTACTTTCTCATTCCAATATGAACGTTCTTTGTGAAAGCTGATCAGGTAGATGCAGGTTGGGAAGATGATCAAATGTCAAATGAGGGCCTGTTTGTTTCCTTGCCCTTAGCAGAGGGCACATGTTGGGTTATGGGAATTGCCTGTAGAACGCAGAACCTTGGCATTTGGGAGGCACATCATAGCAAATGGTACTAAATATCACAGTATAGTGATAAACAAATGGGAAGCAGGAAATTGAGTAAATTGGAGCATCAAGGAGGGCAGGAAAAATTCATACAAGGAAAACAGAGTTGGACGTGTTGTAGTCTGTTAAGCTGGAAAGTTCTCTGGTATTTCAAACATCAAGGTGGATTTCTAAACATGGTGTTATCAAGGCTTTGTCAGACTGAATTTTTAGCAAGTATGCTATGTCCATTTTTAACTCATACTGCCACTTTTCTTGCTTTTATGCACATATGATGACAGGAATAGGAAAACATACAAAGCATTTATATTGAATGTTCAATAAATAAGCAGTACTGCCCAGCAGCTTGGTTTTGTCGGTGGTGGCTCCAATTCAAGATGTGTTTATACAGCGGCCAACTTTGGCTCAGACCTACACCCTGTAGACAACTAAGCACAGTTCTGTGGAAGACAAGGCTATTACAGTTTGGTAGGAAGTACTGAAATATGCTTTTGGTAACCCAGTGGATTAGTTTAATTTTAATGCTGTCAATACCGTCCACATAAGCTTTTGGCCATAGTTGAGTCAGGTTGCTTTTGTACTTAGTTCTCGTTAAAGTGAGGAGCCTGGAGATTACTACAGCAATACAGCTTAAGGCCCTGTTTCTGCAGTAAGGGTGGTGGTTAAATTCCCTTCCAATTCTGTAACAGTAGATCAGGTTCTGTGTGTTTTGTGGGCTTTTTATCTTCATAAGTAAAGTGAAAATACATTTGTTACTGGTTGAGCAGTTGTCTTCAGCCACAAAGGCTTTGTATTTGTAGCACATTCCATCATTCATATTATGCTTGAACTAAACTTTTTAAGAGACACCATGAAAATTTTTTGGTATGCAGATGCTGCTTTGGAAGGGAAAGCCTTTGGAGTATCTGGAAATATTTATGAAATTATAGATTAGATCTCTGCTCTTAACTTGCAGGAGACAAGGAATGTCTGTTTCTTGCTAGGAAAAATTTGCCTGTAGTTACTCACTAGGCTTATTTTTGTAATAACACTTTTAAGAAGAAGGTAGAATTGTTCAAGGTTAAACAGCCTTTGAGTGGACTCCAAGTTATCACTTTTAGACTTGATTAAAAAAAAAGTTTAAAATAATTGAAACAGTGTTATATGTCTGGAGATTTATTACTTAAAGGCATCAATGTTTCTAATACTGGATAAAGCTTCCAATTATTTTTTGCTCCTGATAAATCTGAGCACAAAATGTTTGCTTTACTGCTAATTTTTGCCTCAATGCTTTTGAAACACATGATCCATGTGTAGAAAACAGGTGTATCACGGTATAAGAATTTCCCGTTTCATTACAGAAATACTCGCAGGCATCTTCGTATGCTTTAGTTGATTAAGCTAATGAGCATTTTCCATCATATTTTTTTAAGGCTATGATAAAACTAGAAGCCATCAAACTTAATTCACTACTATTTAAAAACAACAACAACAACAAAAAGAAACAGCAAGTGCACCTGTTTGCTACCATGACTGAGTTTCTAGAGAACAGGACTTTATATGCATGTCTAAGATTGGCTTGGCGATATTCTTTTATTCACAAAAAACAGTAAAATTTGTGGAATTCTTAGTATGTTGTCAATGGCAAATGAGGTAAACACTGGAATGTTCAAATGCTTTCTGTAAGCGTTGCTGCGTATTTTAGTTTGTGTGCGAGCTAGCGAAATCCTTAGCAGCGGAGAACCAATGATAGCATTGCTCCAGATAAGCCAGGCATGCAATGGAGCCTTCTGTATGCCTCCAGCCTTTAGTCTTGTTCTTACTGGAGAAAAGCATCCTTATCTCGCTATACTTTTGTTTTTTGGGTTTTTTTAAAATGTAAGTTTACATCTGAAAACTTTGATGCCTTGTTTTCAAGGAAGAGTCCTGCATTCTCTGATTTTTTTGGTTGTACTGGCAAAAGATGACTTGTTATCCAAGATACCTGGTCATACCTATATGCCTTGTTGTTCAGTGTGGTTCTATGTTGGGCTTTGTTTCGTTGTGTTTCAAGGACTAGGAAAATATTCCCCTGAAGAAACTGTGTTCCTGGTAAGGACGTTATTGTCATTCAAATTGGGTACAAAACCCCCCTCAATTCTCTGCGAATAGAATTAACGCTAACCTCAGAAAATATGTTGTTTGCTCTGCCTTTTCTCCTTATTTTCTCCTAAATATGTTTGCAGTGATTTACATGGGCTATAAGGGAATTCACTTCTAACAAATCTCTACTACCAGTGGACAAAACCCAGTAGTGTTTAAAATATATTCACCCTTTAAAAATGCTGAATTACAAGTCTCTTCAAGTGTTTATCAGGCCCCTGAATTAGCAGCTCTTATGCATGTGCTCATCTCTCAACAGAAGCCTTGGCGTGTTCATATTCAATAATTTGCACTGCATTTTTGTATTTTAATTAGGAAGTTGCTTAAAACTGATCTTTTATCTTCTGAGTTCTCTCTTAGGAATTCCACTGCTTCCGTATCTTATTTTAGTAAGAGTTGAGAATTCTTTTTCAATTATATCTTTGATTTATTTTTTTGTTTGGTTTTTTTTTTTCCTCTTGACTTGTTCCCCTAGATTGATTCAGTTGAGAATTTTACATTATCTAATACTCCATCACGGGATGAAGACAGCAAGTCTCACCTCCATTCAAGATCAAGGTCTCCTTCTACAGCTAGTGAGATTGAACCAATTGAGGTACTTCAATGTTGAGAAATTTTTGTCTTTTTTTTTAGGAGTAACAGTTTCACTCATATAAAAATTGCTTTTGCAAATGCTTTTGTTTAGAATGAAGCTCACTCCCCTGCAGCAAGACTGTTTAGGAGCTTGTAATTGCCTCCTGCACTAGTGGTGAACTGTATGTTGGGGAATGTTGCATTTTCTTTCACGTACGATTAATTCATTAGGGACAGGAGCTGTGTTGAATCAATTACTAGATACAGCCTCTCTTCATAACAGATCTTCAATCATGAATATTTAAGAAATGTTGTCATAAAGTTAATGATATATCTGATATAGTTTGTAAGAGCACCTTTTGGAGTCCTACTGAAAATCCTGTCAATACGAAATACTAGCCAGGCTCTGCAACTATAATAATGCATCCCCCTTCCCTGTGAAAAAAATCATCTCTCTGATTATTTTACATTAGAAAAGATTCAATCAGATGTTTAAGATAATAAAAACTTTTGAAATTTAAGAGATGAATCTTGCGCATCATTTTGCTGAGAAATAGGATTTGGTTTTCTGAGTTCTTTCCTGTGTTAGTCAGTTTGGTTTCATTGTATGTTTGGGGACATACAATGGGTGGGTGGGATGTTATAGTCTTTATTTTATTTAAGGTATCTTTGTTATGTGTATTTGATGTCTTATTGATCCTTTGGGGACTATGTTCAGGTTACAGATCATCCTCCACGTTCAATTCACACACCAACCATGAGGACAGCATATATTGGATCGGGACTCTCTGCACCAAAGGTATTCGGTCAAGCGTTCACACTTTTATAAAGTAAGGGGAAAAATATCACTCCTGGGCAACAGCTTCAGGAGAGCTGTTAATCACAGTAATCTCACCAGAACTGCCTAGAAGGGTTGTTTATGTGCACGCTGCTTGCTTTCTAAAATTTTAAACCCCTCATTCTTACATTTTAGGAAAAACAGTAGTTCAGACATTAGAAAGAGATAAATGAACCAGAACATCAAGAAAGGAAAAGAGACTTCCTAAAAGGAGAGTATTTTCTAGTGTGTGTCTGACCAACCTGACTCTATCCTCTGCATACAATAAAACGGATGTCCTGGTGGGCTGGTCTCAGATTAGCACATCTGCGTGCTAATTAGATGCTTATTTTTGAGAAAAGGCAAAGAGTAAGCCTAAAATGAAACCATAGTTTTATATTTTTTATAAGCAATGTAGGGTGAGCACTACAGCCAACACTGCAGCACTGGGCTGGGAGAGGAATTCCAGTTTCTCTGTCTTCTGACTTTTTACTTGCATAAATACTGATTTTTTTACATCGGTAAAAATTAATTTGCTGTTGGCCAAATAAGTCAGTCAGTGTGAATTGTGCATATTCAAGGAAATGAGGAATAAGAGATACAAGCTACTAAAGGAAAAATTTTCTCATAAAAGTTTCAGAAGTGCCTCAGTGGCTTAGGAATCTTCTCCATATTTTAAAAAATGACAGTTTTTCTGCAACTAATCAATGAATTAAGTCTTTGTAATAGATCTGTTTCTCTGCTTTCATAAATTGCAGAATAGCTAGAGAGTTCATTTATGTAAAGGAAAGCTAAAGAGTTTGAGCAAACGGTATTCTGTTGGCAGTGTCCTAGTAGATAAATTAAAAGAATACTGTATGTGCACTTGGAATCATGTGAAACAGATTTTACTGTGCAGATCATTTCGTTTTTGCAAATATTTTGCTCAGTGAGTAATGATTTGCTTTCTAATTTATGTTCCCTAAAGAACCTTCTTTCTTTGATTGTGTCAGTTTTTAAAGCTTAGTATTGTTTGCCTGTAAGTTTCAAAACAAGACATCCATCTGTAGACAGAAAGCTTCCGTTTTAACAATAAAGGTGTCATTAAATATGGATGAAATTTGAGCCCTTAGCTGTGATATCTTATGCTGTGAAAAACAATCAAGTGAATAAATTTTTTAATATCCCTACTCATTAAAGTAGTCTGCAAAATTGTCCTATTTCAGATCACTTACATTATCCAGGTTGTTTGGACAGTCTTTGCACTCACCCTGTGCTGTGTCTTTTCTCCACCTACCACTTGTTACTTCGCTGGGAGTTTTTTTTTTTAGAAAAGCAAACCAGCTTCTTGGGTTTTATATAGTCATGATATCATAGCATCAGGACTGCCATCCTTGGGAGAGAGAATTAAAACACTTCCCAAGATGCTAATGAGAAGTGCTTTCAAAATCAACTTCATCTATACACTTGCTTTAAATTGGATGTTCTGAAGTTGCCTGTGCCTGGAACCATAAAACTGAACTCTGTCATGCTTTCGGGCATGAAAATTAGAATTTTGCAAAAGTCTGATATTTTTCTTTGAACTAAGGCAACACTCCTTAAAGAGGAGCATTGAATTTGCAGCTTAGAAAATGCTGTGGTAGGCTGACCTTGGCTGGCTGCCAGGTGTCCACCAAACACATGAATACACACATTCGACTTCTAGCATGTAATGGGATAATTTTGGCAACTTTCCTATCTGCAATGGAAGCAAACTCATGTTCTGAGACAAGGTCCAGTTTCTGTGGTTTCATTTACAGAGGGTGGTTTAAATTATCAGTAAACAAGCACTGATAAGGAATTTTTTTCAGCCCATATGTTAGCAGCTCAGATCTCATTTCAGCAAACACAAATAAGCCACCTTTTTAAATGCACCTATGCACTCAGTGTCTGTGAAAAATATAACTGTTCTTTGGAAGCGTTAAGGTGTTAACATCCTTGTCTGCTTGTTTCACAGCCTAAAGCCCACCAGTTCGTAGTGAAATCATTTAATACACCAACAAAATGCAATCAATGCACGTCTCTGATGGTCGGTTTAATACGACAGGGCTGCACTTGTGAAGGTAAGCACTTGTGAAAGGAGGAAATGTGAACTGAAATCCTCACAGATGCAAATGGCACAGTAAATGTTGTAGTGTGATAATGCAGGAGTCTTCTGTTTATGTTTTGAATAACAGAATATATTCTTGTGCTTCAGTCTTTTAACAGTGGAAGCCAAACACTTTGAACATCTCAGTTAACAGATTACCTAGTTATCTGGGGACATACTTATTCCAGTTGGTGGTAGAAAAGCTTAGTTCAGTTTGCTTAAAATAACAATAAGACTCTTTCCAGGACTAATTTATTCTAGCTTTGTATGTACACAGAATGACACTCAGAATTTAGAGAAGCTTTCAGCTGCTTGTTTACTAGTAGAGTTCGGCCTAGAGGAAAATATAGAGATTATCTCAGTATGAACTTCTGATTAGGCTCTTTCTTAGAATCATAGCATGGTTTAGGCTGGAAGGGACCCCAGAGATCATCTAGTTCCAACCCCCCTGCCACGGGCAGGGACACCTCCCACTAGCCCAAGTTGCTCAAAGCCTCATCCAGCCTGGCCTTGAACACCTCCAGGGATGGAGCATTCTTACCTGGATGAAACCAGACTAGGTATCCATACACCTCTGAAAATGGGAAAATCAGAATTTAGAGCAGGTAAAAGCATGAGTTGCTGCTGTATGCACTTACATTTCTGTCTTGGTGTAGCAAATTTCAGTTGTTCATCAAAAAAGAAGAAAGGATTCCTTTATAAATGTCATAATCATTATAATAGTTTTTGCATTAAACAAGAAATAACTGTCAAATCTTTTTGTTTCTTCTCCTCCACAAGTGTGTGGATTCTCTTGCCATGTGACCTGTGCAGACAAGGCTCCTGCAGTGTGTCCAATCCCTCCCGAACAGACTAAGGGGCCTTTGGGAATAGATCCACAGAAAGGCATAGGAACAGCTTATGAAGGACATGTCCGAGTAAGTATCAGGTAGCTGCATTTGGGGCACTTATATTAAATTTGTTGTTTTCCTGAGCTGAAATTAAACTCAAATTGAGGCACCAGGGGGGTTGGATTCCATTATACCTTAAGGTAACAGTTTGGAAACTAAGACCTAAATTTTCACAAACCAGCTCTTAGCATTTTCAACAGTAATTCTATTTCCATCTGTCAGCCATTGTGCTTTGAGTTGGTCTTGAATAGACAGACCATCTGTAGCGATCAGATCATCTCCTAGGGCCCGTTAATTTCTGAATCTTTCTGTTGATGCTAGTACTGTCTAGGGTCATTGGTGTGGATATGTGTACATAAATACTAAAAAAATTACTCAGCACAGTTTTGGCCATATTCCTGTTGATCAGCTAGACATTTTTTTTTTCGCTATGTTTGTTCATATAACTTTGAATGAGTTTGTGAAATAAGAACAAAGAATCTGTGGTGCTGTGAATTTTTTAAATAATATATTGTGGTGTCTGTGTGGTCCTGTTTGATGCTCTTACTGCACCTGTGGTATTGTTTATGTTGCTTAACGTTACCACTGAATAAAAGCTTGTCAGCCTAGATGAGAGAATTGATTTTTGTCCTGTCTGTTTGATTTTTGATTGCATGCAAGCTTGCAGATCGGAGTTGATCAGAATTTATTTTGTTAAAGGTACCAAAACCAGCTGGAGTCAAGAAAGGTTGGCAGAGAGCTCTGGCAGTGATCTGTGATTTTAAACTCTTCCTATATGATGTAGCAGAAGGAAAAGCATCCCAGCCCAGCGTGGTAGTGAGTCAGGTCATAGACATGAGGTAAGCTGTTTGGTGCTGAGTGCAAGCTTTTCAGAGGCACTGTGAGGATTTTTTTTGCTTTTCCTTTTTGTGAAACCTGAAAGCAAGCTCCAGAGCTTTTGTGAAACACTGTAATCCATGTTGAGAGCCTCTAATTTTCCAGCAAAAAGCAATATTTGCAGTTAGCTTGAACTCCACGTGTGTGTTCATATGTGGCATTTTGAACTTCCATTACTACTTCATGTGCCAAAATGCATCTGTTCAGCTGTGTAGAAAATCTGTAATGAATAAAGAAAAATACATTCTTTTGGGGCTGAATAGAATTTTGAAAGACAGATGAAACTTTCTTGTAGGATGAAACTAATACAGTTCTTGCTTCGGAAGATCTAAATAGTTTGTTCCCACTGTCTTCAGTGTTACTGAAATACTACCATCTTCACTGAAAGTTAGGGACATTTAACATACCAATTAAATAAAGCTCATCTCTGAACTAGGTTAGTTTATCTAGGAGGTCTCAAACAGCTGCAGCTTATAGCTTCTAGTGAGTTTGGATTTTTATGAAAGAGTTGGAGAGGTATCCTTGATCCAGTCTTATTTTTTAAGTTGAATATAAATAGATTTATCTCCATCAACATTTACCAGGAATTAATTATTTTACTCTCTTTAACTCTTTTCCAATAATGTTTGTGGTCTCCATAAGGGATGAAGAATTCTCAGTGAGTTCTGTCTTGGCCTCGGATGTCATCCATGCAAATCGAAAAGATATCCCCTGTATCTTTAGAGTAAGTATTACATCATGAACCTAGTAACCCAGAAGTACAGGGTTTCACAGTGTGATGTACAGTGTGCATTCACTGACAGCTTGCTAGTATTTAATTTCCATTCAAGTTCTGGCCGTGTGGTATCCATGGCAGCAGCAGCAGTGCATAAGGATCTGTACATTTATAATTTTCTTGGTAAAAATAGCGCTGGTACATTTAGACAAGCTCTCATCGCCCCTTTACTTGGGTTTTATTTTTTTAACCTTCACAATAAGACATACTTTTCTCAACCTCCTGTCAGTCATTTGGAATTTTTCTGTTCTTCATGACCTTCTACATTTTCATTTCCTAAAGTTGCCTTCTGCTTCTCAGTTTAGTTCGTTGTGCTATTCCTGAAGCCTTTATTTTATGTATTTTCTTTGTATATATGCATTGGATCTCTGAAAACTGCCATTCATCAGATAGTCCGTATAAAAATCTAGTGTAAAATACTCATAAAAATTTATGTTTATTAGCTGGTATCAGGATGTTGCCATCATTGGCTTTTTCTAATATTTCTCTTATTTTTACTAGATATTCTATTGAAGCTTTGACCTCAATTAAATATCTTTGGTGTCTTAGTAATTCCCCTGACATTTCTTTACTATACCATTGTATTTCACTCCTTACTTTTCCAGCTTTCAGACTGTTCATCACTCTGCATGCTGAGAGGAGATAAACCTATGAAACGGGCTTTCATTTTTATCTATAGAAGCTGTACCAAATACATCAGAAGGGTCATAGATCATTCTTCCGTAAAGACCATTCCTGTTGCATTAAATTATTGGTGAAAAGTATTGGTCTTAAAAAAATACAGAATATTCTGTAAGAAATGCTTTTCATTATAAAATTGCTGTGGGCAGACATTTCTGGATTACAAAATAAATACAAATGCATTTAGAAGAAAGCCAAATTTTTCTCTGTTCTTTGAGTTGTTCACATCTACAGGTTTTTCTTCTATGGGTTCTTGATTGTGATAGTGTTTTCCATTAACTAAGGCTAAATTTTTGCATTCTTAGTTCAGACAGCTAATTAAAAGGGCACTTAGAGGCATCTCTTGTAAAAATGATCATGATGAAATTTTTTATCACTTAAGGCTTAAAATATATATTTTAAAATTTTCCAGGTCACAGCTTCCCAGCTCTCTGCATCCAGTAGTAAGTGTTCAATCCTGATTCTAGCGGACGGTGAGAACGAAAAGAGCAAATGGGTAGGCGTGCTGAATGAATTGCATAGGATCTTGAAGAAGAACAAACTCAAAGATCGCTCGGTTTATGTTCCCAAAGAAGCTTATGACAGCACCTTACCCCTCATCAAAACAACACAATCAGCAGCAATCATAGGTATGAAATGAATAAGAAGAAAGCTCTAAGAAAAAATGGGTATGCTAAAAGCATGCTTTTTTTTGCAAAAAAACAGAGAGAAAACATAATAGCAGAGAGTGAATTTAGTAATTGTAAATGCTGCTGCATAAAATATGTTAAACTCTGATTATTTAGATTATTTAAATATGATATTATAGTTATTTCAAAGTCAGTAGTATGCTTAAGTGCTCTGAATGGTTTGTTTAAAATTATGTTTCTTGCTGTTACTTCTACTAACAGGAGAAATGGGAAAAGATTTATTTTTTCAGAAATTTGAAAGATTTTAGAGCTTACCAATGTTTGTTACATTAATGTGTTATGTTTGGCTTTATATTTGTTATTTAAAGATAAGTAAAAACCTGTCTCTGTTAATCAGAATTATCACTATTGTTGAAGAAGTATTTCCCAAAAAAAATAACCTTTTTTTTTTTCTCTTAATATCATAGACCATGAAAGAATAGCTCTGGGGAATGAAGAAGGGTTATTTGTTGTGCATGTCACCAAAGATGGTAAGAGATTAGGAGCTGGTAATCATTTCCCTAATATTAAATAATCAGAAAGTAACTTTTTAAGCTTCTTTCTCTTTCAATATCCTCTGTTTTCATTTTTCTTGATTTACTACATTATCAGCTGGACAACCCCGTGTGAGAGCTGATAATCAAGGTGTTCTGTGTGCTTTCTGGTTTAGGTGTCCTTTCCAGTAACAAAGATCCAGCATCTGGAATGCAGTTGAAGGTTTTCTTCTTTTGTTTGAAGCAGGCTCAATACTGAATTCAGACCAGGTTGCTCAGGACTTTGTCCAGCTGGGTCTTGAAAGTCCCCAAGGATGGAAGTTCTCCAGTCTCTCTGGGCTGCCTGTTGCAAAGTGTAATTATTCCCACAATGAAACATTTTCTTTGTATATCCAGTAGGAACCTCCCTCATTTAAATTCGTGACTTATTGTCTCTTCTTCTCCTGCTGTGCACCTCAGTAAGGAGCCTGGCTTTGATCCTTTCTGTAACCTCCTCCTTGGTGTTGGAAATGAAAACTTCTGTTCAGTATTGTAAATGGATGTAATGATAGATGCCCAAGCTCATCCAACAAGCAACATATTTAATTGTATGTTTCAGTTCTTTGAGGGTTTTCCTTTATTCAGTAGTTTTGTGGCTATAAACTGTTTTTGAAATTAATACTGAAATAATACGGTGGTTCTTATTGCATCGGATCTGCTCCTCCCTTTTTCTGATGAGGAAAAGCCAAAGGTCTGTCCAGCATTGCCACATCTGGTATTATTAAAATACAAGTTTTGATTCTGTACTTCCTAATATTGCAGGGAAGCAATAAAGGGGATTTCTTGGGTTTCCTTCATAGTTTATCTTTACAAATGCATATGTTATAGTCAGTTCACACTTCAACATTATTTACTTGGATTTGGGGGTTTTTGTTTTGGTTTTTTTTAGAGATTATCCGTGTTGGTGACAATAAGAAGGTTCATCAGATTGAGCTTATCCCAAATGAACAGCTCATTGCAGTAATCTCAGGACGAAACCGTCATGTGCGGCTTTTCCCTATGGCTGCCCTGGATGGAAGGGAGACTGAGTTTCATAAGCTGGCAGAGACAAAAGGCTGTCAGTCAATAGTTTCTGGACACGTGCGCCATGGAGCTCTTACCTGCCTGTGTGTAGCTATGAAAAGGCAGGTCCTGTGTTATGAACTAAATCAGAGTAAGACACGTCACAAAAAGATGAAGGAGATCCAAGTCCAGGGGAACGTCCAGTGGATGTCAATCTTCAGTGACCGTCTTTGCGTGGGCTACCAGTCAGGTTTCTTAAAATATTCCCTTCATGGAGAAGGCAGCCCATACAGTCTACTCCATCCAGATGACCACACACTATCATTTATCTCACAGCAGCCAACTGATGCCATCTGTGCGGTCGAAATCTCAAATAAAGAGTACCTGCTGTGTTTTAGCAGCGTAGGGGTTTACGTTGACTGCCAGGGCCGAAGATCTAGACAACAAGAACTGATGTGGCCCGCAACTCCATCTTCTTGCTGTAAGTTGCCGTGCGTGTCAGTGTACTTGCTATTATCTGTTGAAGTGATCACTGCTTGTATTAATATCCACAGGAAGTGAAGCTCAAGGATAATTACCTGACAGGTAAATGAGCGCTCTCAGCTTCTGTTAGCATTTTTAGTCTAGTCAGAGGGTGTAATCCGGATCACATTTGTGCTAGTTTTGACAACACTGTCACTGACTTGCTGTAGCACAAAGAAGAATAAAGGGTCGGGATTTCCAACTCTGATGTCCAATTTCTGAACACATGGCCTCATCTCTAAAACAGCTGAAAGCCTCAGATCCTACAGAGGCCAATGGGATCTTTTATGCATTTGTTACCACTGATACTGGACTGTTGTTATTTAAAATTTGATTGTACTTTGGCTCAGCATTGTGATTGAAGCTTTCTTGATGTTCAGAGTCATCAGGATCTGGTAGTTTGACTTACTTGTCTCTAATGGTGTTTATTCCTACTTACTGGGTTTTAAAAAAATTTTTCTTTCCTTACTCTGTCATTCTCTCTTCCTCAGCAGTTTTTGTTGACACTCTTCTCATTCATCTCCTCTCTTCAATTTTTTTAAAACATCAGTTTTTAAATTTTCCCCCCTCTTTCTTTCTCTTCCCTTCCACAATACAATGTATGGCAGGTAGTATAGAAAATACATTTTATAACATTAAGGGGAAAATATTGTAATTTTTCACTATTTCAGTTTCCAGCAAGAACTGTGTTAAACATTTATGGCATGTTTTTTCAAAGCTCTGGGGCTTTATCTTTGTGACAGTTGGATGGAAAAAAATATCTGTGATACCTGCCTTCTTCTTTCTAATGTCTCTCTGAATGCAGATAAAAGGTTAGCTAAATTTGTCCCCATAATATCTGTGAGTGAGCCCAATCTTACGTTGATTTTTAAAACAGTCTGCCTTCTTACCTCACTGTGACAGCAGCGCAGTCACGCTGCAGAGGAGAGGAGTGTTTCACCTTGTCTGAGTGAAGCCCCTTCTGAATGTGGAAGGAGCAGCTTTTACAGGCTGGGTGTCACCTCTGCTTTTCAAGCAAGAGTGTGATTATTGCAATGGATTCAAAGAATTAATGAATGGAAATAAAATATTTTGTGATGGATTGAAAAACAGGTATTTTCACATGTAGTTCATCTATACTGGTCATTGATATTTGTGAAAGTTTTTTGATTGCCTTAAATGAAGTGACTTGATGTTATTCCAATTCAGAATGGAGGCATATTTTATAGCAAAAACTGTTACATTTAAGCACAAATTGGATGCTCTTGTTAGTCTTGGCAGACAATGGCAGTTTTGTTGCCGACATGGAAGTACTGAATTCTCCTTTAGAAGTGGTCCCAGTGGAACAAATTTCATCCTGGGGAAATGCGCCAGACGAGTAGCACAAGAATTCTCTTTACAGTCCAGAAATAAGAACAGAGAATTAAAGCTAGAGGGAAACATTAAATTTTTATGACAGTGTCATGGTGCTTAGATCCAACTGATATTCATTTAGTACATAGTCCAAAGACTAAGAGCTCAGTTCATTCAAATGACAGTTATTAAATGACAACAATGTATTTTCCTACCACATTATTTACAAAATACGAGCTCTTAAAAAACAGAAGAAAAAAGACTTTGAACCACATCAGTTTTTGTCAGAGTAAACTGTAATCCCGTGTAGTTCAAAAAGTAGTTTGGTACTGCAAAGTTAAAAGAAAAGTCATGGAGGTTTTAGGGGTTTTGGTGGTGGTGGTTTGCTTTCAGATAACATTTCTTGGTCATTTTTGAGTTAAAGCACGTTGTGCAAAGATTGCTGTTGGGTTGTGGGGTGTGGGTTTTTTGCATTAAATATGTTTAAACCATAAAAAATGTTATATTTTGAGCCCTGTCTAAAAGCACATGACACTATACCTAATCTTTCCTTCTCAGGTTACAATGCACCATATCTCTCTGTGTACAGTGAAAATGCAGTTGATATCTTCGATGTGAACTCCATGGAGTGGATTCAGACAATTCCTCTCAAAAAGGTAACTTGCTCTTTCAATATCAGTTAAAGAATATGTCTAGACTCAGTCTTGCTTTGCTGCAGTCAGACAAGGCTTTTTAAGCGCGTTAGAATGCATCATTAAAACTGCTTGTTTAAGCATAATTGAACTAAAAGAAGAGCTACTGCAAAGAAACCGGTGCCTTTTGTTTGAAATATAAGATATGAAATGTGTTTTGTGTGTGGTTTCACTGTTCTAGATGAATGGTCAATCTGGAGCATATAAGTATGTTAGACTTACTAATATTATCACAGAGAGCTGTTTCTTAGTATGAATTGCATGTGGCTTCATTGGGAAATCAGTCCCAACATCTGTGTTATTGCCAGAAAATGGTGGATGTGAAGATAATGAAACAGTCCTTCAAAAATCTATCTTCAGCTGCTTGAGAACACTAGACAGATAGGGTCAGGTCCAGGGAGGTGATTCTTCCCCTCTGCTCTGCTTTCATGAGACCCCACCTGCAGCACTGCATCCAGCTCTGGCATCCTCAGCACAGGAAGGATGTGGACCTGTTGGAGCGTGTCCAGAGGAGGGCCACAAAGATGGTCAGAGGGCTGGAGCAACCAGTACAGCTATTGAAACTAGAATGATGTCAGGTTTGGACCACTTACCAAAACAAAGATCGAGGTGCTCAGCTATTAACCATCTTAAGGAGAGAGGAAGAACCTGGCCTTTTAGAGGAAATTCCCTCTACTCTTTCTGACATACAAACTTTGAGTTATTAAGCGATTGGAGCATCTTTTTCCTGCACAGCAGAATGTGATTTAGTACTTTGATTAATATTTGGCTCAAGACTGTCCATTTAATGAATGAAGCTGCTTTCAACAAACAAGAATTGCTACATCTACGAGACTCAAAAATGGCAAAATTGTTTCTAACACCATTTGGAGACTAAGAGAGTGGAATGCTTCTTTCATTTTGAAGCTGGAAATCACAAATACCAGCAGATTTTAGCAATCTGTGTATATACTCTTACCATGTTGCAAAACGTAATTGTGACCTGCTAACACAAAATAAAAGCACAGCTTAATTCTTTGTGCATCTAATAGCCAAACTTGAAGTAGACTTCTAACGGAACTGTTTATTTAAATGTTGGGAGGAACGGTGTTACGCATATGTCTTTAAGCGGCAGCTCTCTCTGTACTACTTCTCCAAACAGAAGTTTAAAATGTGAAATAGTTTCTAACTCTGTTTCATGGCTTTAATGACCCTAAGTTGTTACTTTTGAGAGCAGGCATGAGTTACTGGACACTGCTCCCTCCAGCCTGCAGTTCTTCTGTGGAGCAGGCTTTTCTCTGGACAGTTACGCTGTCCTGCTCCCTGGCTGGTTTTAGAACAGTGCTCCTTTTGTAGAGCTTATAATGTACCTTGGAGCTTTCAGAATAAGATGCACTATAGAAATGTGAGTTGCTGCTGTTACAAGGACTGATTTTCCTTGTTTCAGGTACGACCCTTGAACACAGAAGGATCACTAAACCTTTTAGGCCTGGAGACAGTTAGATTAATATATTTCAAAAACAAAATGGCAGGTAAGTAAAGAGAAGCCAATTTTCATCATGCAAATTTTTGTTTAGAAAGAGCATTTTTCTTTGTCCTGCATCTGTCCATTATAGAAAGTGATCTCTCAAATGTGAATGTATGCTTGCTAAAGCCAAAGCTTATAGATTCCACAGTGATTGCAATGATGTCTGCTAGGCAGCTACTCTGAATGTTTTTCTCCCTTTTGAATATTCAATGAAGACTTGAATGAATACTGAAAATAGAAAGACTAGACGCTCCCCCCAAAGATGGGATCACCTGCCATAAGGCTATCTAAAAATGCCTGCACAATTAAAGGCTTTAATAGTGAATGCTACATTGAGCCTAAACAAACCTTTCCCAAGCATCAGAAAGTAATATAATGTTACGTAGACACAACTTGTTATTGGGGCCATTTGTATGCAAAAGTTTTAGCTTCAGAATTCTATTTTTATTATGAGTCTTTTTGACTTTTTTTTCTTTCTAGAGCGCCCGTTTCATAAGCATGCTCCTGAGTAATTTCCTTAACCTTTTTTTTTAACCTCTTAGATGGAGTGGGGACGTGCTTTGTTTTAACAATCAAAAGCTGTAATTTTTTTAAACTACTATTCTGAAAATAGTGGAAACAAACTCTCTAGAAATATAAGCTGCTATTGGCAGTGTTTCAATTGTTATTTAAATTGCTACCAAATTAGTACAAAAGGAATGATAGTGGTAGAGAGGAGCAATATGGTGGAAAGAATGTATGTATAAAGAATTTTCAAGTCTAATAAAGGTTGAACGTTAAAAGTAGAGCAGAAGAGAAAAAAGAATGGAGAGCACAGGAGCAGAAATGAGTAAGGCTGGTGCTTTGCTCCTGTACACTTCTCACTGTCTTTCAGAAAAGGTTGCCAAACAGCATTGTCCGGGTGTAAATCTTTAAAAGTCTGCAAGTTTTTTCCTGAAGCTGCTTACCTAGTATATCCCACACGTCGTGACATCTACAGTTGACTTTAGGAAAGAAGATAATTCAGTTCCATACAAAAACCATTTTGGAAGTGAGCTGTAGGTGTTGAGTATGTTCACACTTTAAAGTACACTAAAGTGTAACTTTAGTCTCCATATATATAAAACAAGAGAGCGGTTGCAGTGTTCATTCAAAGTAATGCTCCTGTTGTATGATTATCACTGCTATACACTTCATGTCTTTTAATAAAGATACCTTGGCCAGACCTACAAATGTGGAAAAAATCTTCCTTTTCCCACAGCTGCACCAAAATACAACAGTGTTCAAACATTTCAAAAGGAGTAGTCTTCTCGGAGCAGGGAATCAATGAAAAAGAATCTTGTGTTGAGTTTCCAGATGATCAGCAGAACAAGACTGTTCTAGTGGTTTTCAGTGAGAATTGCCAAAAAGTTTGTGATAGAGGACTGAGATCCTTTCTTGCCCACCTAAATGTTTTGCTTGAAAGAATTAATCGGTGGTATTTTGATAACAGAGTTGTTGGCAGCTTGTGTGTGAAGAAGGGTTAGGTCTATTGCTATATAACAGAGTAGGTAGGGACCAAGAAAACCCATAAATCAAGGAGCACTTGTTCAGGTTTGATAGGAAATGGTGGTGTCCAACACTAGCAAGAGCAGAGGGAGAAAATGTCTTTGAATTCAAATTCTGTGAATGCCTAATGAAGTGTCACACTAGATCATCATATTTATATTGATTTCAGAGGGTGATGAACTGGTAGTTCCTGAGACATCGGACAACAGCCGGAAGCAAATGGTTCGAAACATCAACAACAAACGCCGTTATTCATTCAGAGTACCAGAGGAGGAGAGGATGCAGCAGAGGAGGTCGGTATTCAACATGTACTTGTCTTCTGTACATGCCTGTAGGCCCTGAAGGACGGTGACTGATGCCAATGGAGTACTTCATTTGTTGCTTTCGGGAATGCCCATTCAGATGTTTCTGTCTATTCGCTACTGCATTAATCCTCAGTGTTTAATTGGTGTTAATACCAGTTTGGATATGGATATGCACTGGATACACAAGTATTCATTAGTTCAAATTAATTATGTGAAACAGCTGTAATTTGGAATGCATGTCTCCACATACTGTATATAGGTGTGCACATGTACTGTATATATAAAGATCTGTAATAAACACTTTGCAAAAGGAGCTTACGTGGCTAACTATGCATATGGATTAATTACTTTCAGACTCTGGTTCTGCTTTTCTTTCTGAAGGCAATTCCACTCTCATCAGTATTCCAAGGCATCTGCTTTTTTGATTTATAGATTTAACTCCATAAACATTCTATAAATCTCAGAAAACTCCCCTCTTCAGAGGACATAGGACTTCAGGATGTGTTTCTAATAGAAGTCTTTGACAGATCACAAATACTTTCCTAAATGGCAATAAAAATAGGTCTGCGCTACTTGCAGTGTTCACAGAGGATGTTGCTGACCATTTACTATCACTCACTAAAGATGACCTGCTACAGTGCTAAGCTACACTCCAAGAGCTGAGTATTTCAGATTTCTAACTATCGACGTCTTCCACAGATGGTTGGCTCCCGGCTTTCCTATCTTTTTGGTTCTAAGAAAATAACAGCTGTGTATAGTGGAGATAAAATTCCAGTTCTTGTCCTTGCTTTTCTGAGCTGATTGCAGTTTAGTCTTATAAAATTTTATTTATTCTGAGTTCTGAAATGCATCCTTGCCATTTTGAAGAGCTTTTAATTCTGACCACAGACTGAGAAAGGTACTGCAGTATTATTTTAATTCTGTTTTTGTGTTTTATACTTTATTTTCATCTCCACTTTGTAATACATCACAAATGAGTTCTGCTTTTACTCATCACACAGAGCTTTTATCAGCTCATAGTGGTTGTATATTCTTTGAATGTTAGTAACTACTGGGTGTGAGCTGTTAGCCTGCAAACAGCATTCTTTTCTTCTGGTCCCTTGTCCTCTCTTCAAGCTGGAAGCTTGTCCATGCCAGTGCTGATAGCAAGGGTTTGTCCCTGTTAACATGGTTAAACAGTTAATTTCCATTTAAAAGTAGCTGATAGTCAAAGCTGTACGTGTTTTATAAATGTCCATCCTCACCTCAAATGAAATATCTAAACAAAGTATTTTCTCTTCTAGGGAGATGCTACGCGATCCGGAAATGAGAAATAAATTAATTTCTAACCCAACTAATTTTAACCACATAGCACATATGGGTCCAGGAGATGGTATACAGATTCTCAAAGACCTTCCAATGGTAAGCACGAAAGTACGCATGAGAGCGACTGACTGCAACAGAGGCTGCAAATAAGTGAGAGAAAGACAAGTACAATTTTAAATGTCATATTTCGTATCAGGAGCGATGTAACTAGGGAAATGGAGCTGAACATGCTCTGTGTTATGTGATAAAATTTAAAGAAAGAGGATGACACTTAAGCATTGAGGGGAGGAGTAGGAGTGGCTTATGCCTCATAGAATCATAGAATGGTTTGGGCTGGAAAGTACCTTAAAGGTCATTGAGTTCCAACCCCCCTGCCATGGGCAGGGACACCTCCCACTAGACCAGGTTGCTCAAAGCCTCATCCAGCCTGGCCTTGAACACCTCCAGGGATGGGGCATCCCCAGCTTCTCTGGGCAGCCTGTCCCAGGGCCTCACCACCCTCACAGTAAAGAATTTCTTCCTAATATCTAGTCTAAATCTGCCTTCCTCCAGCTTAAATCCATTACCCCTCGTCCTGTCGCTACATGCCCCTGTAAAAAGTCCCTCCCCAGCTCTCCTGTAGCCCCCTTCAGGTACTGGAAGGCTGCTATAAGGTCCCTCCGGAGCCTTCTCTTCTCCAGGCTGAACAACCCCAACTCTCTCAGCCTGTCCTCATAGGGGAGGTTCTCCAGCCCTCTGACCATCTTTGTGGCC